GGAGTTGCCAGGTGAAAAAGCGACTTGAAAACCCGGAATCGCTAGGTGAAAAAGCGATTAGGAAACCTGGAATTGCCAGGTGATAAAGCGATTAGGAAACCTGGAATTGTCGGGTGAAAAAGCGACTTGGTAACCTGGAATTGCTAGGTGAAAAAGCGACGTGAAAACCTGGAATTGCTAGGTGAAAAGCGACTTGAAAACCTGGAATTGCCAGGTGTAAAAGCGACTCGAAAACTTTGAGAAATAAGAGAAATGGTGGTTTAGAAACCTAAGGTTGTCAAGAATAAAGCGATTTGGAATTCTGATACGGTCAGAAAGATGCGCAACTTGAAAATCTGGAAAAATCAGAAGGAAGTTGATTTGAAATCCTGGAAGAGTCTGTGAAAGAAACAGCTTTAAAATTTTGTTAAAAGAAAGAAAGGAACTTGAACACCTAAAATTGCCAGGAGAAATAAAGGCGGCCTGATTACCGTGAGTATTAAGGGAAATAGTGACTGAAACCCGGGCATGGTCAGGGAAAAAGCTACTTGAAAATCTGGAAAAATCAAGGGGAAAAAATGATTTGAAAACCTAGAACTCTCGGGGATAAAGTAACTTGAAAACCTGGAACTTTCGGCCAAAAATATGCCTTGGAAAACCAGAATTTTCAGGGAAGAAAGCGACCTAAAATCGTGAAAAAGTGAGGCTAATTCCGAGCTTCTCTTGCGTATTGCGGCTCTCAGTATTGCTGTTGATTTCAAGATTTCGGGAGTCGGACGAGGCAACGTCGGTCGTAGGCGAGATGACTCATACCGGCTCAAAATGGATCTTTTCTTTCTCGTCAGCTTGCTCCAAACGCAACCATTCTCTCTCGAGGAGATCGTACGTGATAGATTGCCCCAGGTTGTCGACTCTTCACACGAATTTTACCATAATTCTATAGTTAAGGTCTAAAGAACGGGCGCTAGGATAGAGATAGACTGTAGTGCAGTTGTGACTCGTCTTAAGTACATTTAAGTACTATTGAAAGGGCTAAAATAATCGGACCGCAGATATTATGTTTTACTTCCATTCACAACAATTCTTTCAGTGCTCATACTGATATTTGACCCATTTAATTCTAACTGAGCGATACCACTATTCGACCACTAGGGAACTCGGGTTGCCTACATCGAATATTGAAGGCGAACTGATTTGGCGTTAGAGTAACCTAGCTTGTGGTTTTGTAAAGAGCCATTATTTCAGTGTTTGGAGCAGAGATGCTAAATGAAATCAACGATCTTCAGGGGCTCCGTATACCCGCAATAATTAATCGAGAATTCGATAATTAACTTCGAAATTTGACTTATTTTAAAATTATTCCAAAACTAAGATTGTACTGTTCCCATGCGTTTCATGCTATTCTGATATCAAGTCAACTTCCGAAACTTTATTGAAACATGAGATTGTATTACCGTATTTCATTTTCTAAAGTTCCATGAAATTTTGCATCCCTGGCCATTTTCCATTGGAAATAAGAATTGTTTTCGCTCTGGCCAAAGTTTGTGACGGACCCATAGAATACCTTTCAGCTGGAACACATCAAACGATTCAGAACCTCCAGCGTGCTCTCAACCGCGGGATACTGCTCGCAGTTATATCGGAACCTCCATTCAGTGCACGGCGAAGAACAGAGGAAAATGCCGGGATAAAACTGAAACGCGTTTCATAAAACCACAAGACGTTTCGCGGTCCTGCGATTTCTTTATCAACCGCACGCACGTCGAACTAATCTCATAATAAGATGATTCTTGAATACACACACGTGAAGATTTTCCGATTTTGAAAATCCAATGATATAACGTAAAAGTTTCAAAGTTGCTCCATCGTTTGTCTTGGAAAATTCCCCTTAAAACCTGATAAAAACCCTAAAAATGTATTAAGTGACCACAAGAACATGAAAAATGTGCAGTGTTAGAAAACCATTTCATGTTTGACCTCTCCCAATCGCTTGTTTCACTTAAAGTACTTGTATAAGGAGAGTATGAACGAATTAAAACGTGGAGCTCTTAGGACCCAAAAAGGCAGCCAGCCTTCCCACACGAAAAACACAAGAAAAATGCCGCGGCCGATCTCTAGATTTCAACATCAAACCAAGATGGCCAAGAACGTTTATGGGCAGAGTAAAAGCCAAAAACTAACAATAAGTCGAATACGTGCTTTACAAATGACGAGTCGTAACAATTGTAATAATAAATGACTCAGGATAATTTGAGTTCATAGGATGGCTGCCCTTTTAAGCCTATGAGCTCAGCGACCTATCTCCAAAATTACCGATCAGTCCGAAAAAATTGAGATAATAATGATTTCTAGTAAAACTAGTCTTCATGCAAATTCTGTGAAAAATTCGCTTCCAAATATTCTTTTGGTTAGTCCCACTAACCTATTCAAAGTGAAATCTATCATTGAACAGTTGGTAATGGCCTGACGGCCAATTCCTCCCCCCCCCCAAAAAAAAAAAAAAAAAAAAAANCCCAAAAAAAAAAAAAAAAAAAAAAAAAATCTCTCCTCACAGGTATTCTAGTGGAGGCCAGGAAAGGCGATGACGTTAGAATCTGGAACGGAGGAAGGATTCCTGACACCAGAGGTTATGCAGTAGTGGCATGCTTATAGGAAGGGGGGGGGTGGTGGTTAGAAGGTCCGTAATGAATCACTCATCACACGCGAGCGCAACAGGTGTTACGCGTTCCGTGTCCCCTCCCATTGAGCACCGTATTTTTGATTTATCAGCCGTTCGAACTGTTAGTGTTACAACCGCTGATAAGTCACACCCTGCTCTCCCTCCTCGCTCTCCTCCCCTACAATAGAGCGGTTAAACGAAGAAGGGCATAAGATGCCAAGGATCCCTACGCTCTTACGCCTTTTGGGAAGGAGATACGCGGTTGTGGACGATCATCAGTGAAAGAGTGATTGTGGTTTACTTTTATATAGGCGCGTAGCTATGCTAAAAGAAACTATGTCGTACGCGAATCCTATGAGCATAGCTCCTTTTAGCATAAATACGTCCAAATGTTGGTAAGTTTTACTGCATTTGAGCCGGTTAGGTTGAGCAGTTCCATCAGGGGCATGGAAATTTCTTTGAAATAAAAATCAGTCGCTGTCTCCGAATGTTATTATTCCGTCAGTTCGAATGAAAGTTCGAAAATCAGCGCACCTTTCTTTATTTTCTCATTTTATTGCAAACTATAGAAGTATCATGCACTACAGTGCATAACATAGAAGAGGAAAAATAAGAAAGGGAGGAAAAAAAAAAAAAAAAAAAAACCAATGAATATAAGGAAAGATTTTACCGACATTTTTCCCTCAAGGTGGAACACCAGTTCGCGAGATACAGTCAGCATTCAGGATTTTAGGGATGCAGAATTTTCCTAGTCTTCTCATCTTGAAAACCCCATTTTCCTCAGGAATTTCAAAATGATGACTTTTTTATGACTCTTTACACATAAATTGTTGTGACTCAGCGAAAAACTTGTAATTTATTTACCGTGATTTTACGGAAAATTGTGATTTTTACCACTGTGCTGCAAGCAAAACGCGATTTTGTCAGATTTCCCCATCAAGAACTCCGTTTTCGGGGCTTTCCCATTTTGAAGTGCGACCGATCGCGACCCACCCGGTCGCTTGGTCGAAAAGTTTTTGCACCACTACAGAACTATTGCACCCCTGATGCACCTATTGTTAGTTATTGTTAGTTGAACGTATTCATGCTGAAAGGAACTACGTTCCGTATGCTTATAGTTCTATTTTAGCAGAAATACGTCCAGTTGTACCTTGCACGACGGGTCTGTCTATCGAACGCACCAGGTCCGTTTTTCCGGCGAGGCAGTTTTCTCGAGTGCATAATTTCAATGAGCTCTCGTTCTCGGCCACGACGATCCACATTATGACATCGGAATGCTCCCTATTCGGAGACTTCTTATCGCTCGGCTAATTAATCCACGTTCATGTAAACGCTCGAGCGCCACTCAACATCGGAATGCCGTACTTACACTCTTCTGTCAAGTAAGAACATTGTATGTTCCCGTCCCTTCTTGCCAAATTTCCCTCGGTGAGATACGAATTTCCCGGGGAACTTGTAATCTGCCTCCTTCCAATTTTTCACAGGATTATATTCGCAATTTAACCCAAAATACCTCGAATTTTTAAGGATAAGTGTGCGTAACTTCCCGAGAAAATGATTATTTTATCGGGAGAAAATTGGCAACCTTGGAATGTTCGAACGGCATTCTTCGTTAACTCCTGCAGTTGTTGAGATGGTCGTGAGTCATCCCAAGCCATCCTTGTTTTACCAGAAAGTTTGACGCGTCACCCGAGGAGAAGTGGGACATTCTTTCACCGAGTTCAAGTCCTAGCCCGAGAGACAAAGTACTTTAAAGCCCATTTTCAGCGATTTTACGTATCGCAAACAGTCGGCAATTGGAAGCGGCATGCGTGTTAACTGGTCGAATCGCAATAATTTGCATCAACATTGCAAATGTTTCATCGGATGAGAACTTCAAATTACGACCTGGTTTGAAGCGCCTTCAACTCCTGGTGATACCTTCCGCTTTGCCGGGAAGTTCGTTTAGTTGCGTGACCTAACTTAACCCAAGTAAGGTTACTACTCGTACTCGTAGCTGAGTTTTAGAGCGCCTTCAACTCCGGGTGATACCATCCGCTTTGCCGCGAAGTTCGTTTAGTTGCGTGACCTAACTTAACCCAAGTAAGGTTACTACTCGTACTCGTAGCTGAGTTCTAGGTGTTACAATGCATTCGAAAAGATAGGAACGTCCGGTTGAGTATCAAGCATGCGAAATACTGCTTTCTTTATTACTTTTACACTTTTTTTTTAGTAAAAGTTGATAGAAATTAGCGGTCGATCACTAATTGCCTGTGATACCTCGTTATCATATCTGGATATTATTTTAATAGTTGTACGTTATGCTTTCAGCTTTTTATGAACTGGTGAACTAACGTTTTTTGTTTTTCTCTCAATGTTGCAGACATACTCTGGGCTGTTTTGCGTCGTCGTCAACCCCTACAAAAAATTACCAATCTACACAGAAAAAATTATGGAGCGCTACAAAGGCAACAAGAGGCACGAAGTTCCTCCCCACGTCTTCGCCATCACAGACACGGCCTACAGGTCGATGCTTCAAGGTAAGTTCGGAAGTCTAATTCGAGGTACTTGCTTTTGCCTCTATTTTTTAAAAAAAAACAACAACAAAAAGGCCCGTTTTCCCATAACTTGTATTCTATGTCCTAGAAAAAATGTATTAAATATCAACGTGGTACTTTTTTCTTATAAGATCATGGGTGAAACTGGTATGAGGCGGAGGGGGGGGGGTGGTGGTGGTTCCCCTCAGATATCTATTGGCCCTGTCCAAGAAATGTGAGGGATTTTGCTAAATAAGTGTGCGACATATTTTTCATCTGTACAATTTTGATGCAATCTTTTCATTGATGAGAACAGCCCAAATGACCCCTGAGGCGATGCAGTTTTTCAAAATTCTCGGTAAAAAATCGTGCAGTAGAGCTGAACTTAGGAGAAAAGGTCAAAATCGGTGATTTTTAACTCTTAATGGGAAACGCTCCCTGGAATACCTGAGAACAAGCACGCACGGTTCCAGTTTAATTTTCTCATCCAGAAAGTGCCAGCTGCTAGTTTCATTAGTGCATGTTAAAATTCCTAACCCTAAAACTCAAAATTTGACCTAAAACTTCGGAAATTAATTCAGGAACTTGAAGAAGCCATATGTTTCTCAGTTTCTGAGCTTAAAGGGCCATATTTTAGTCAGAATTCACAGGGGGAAAACCTGGATTTTCATTTTCTATGCAGCGGTATGCATTAATAACTCAATTTTTTAATTTAAGGAAGATTATGTCTTCCCTTTCATAATACTTTCACAATGAATTAAATTTTTAGTTTTTTTTTTCTATTTGGGATCAGTGGGTGTCTTTTTCCATGGACGATCACCTAATTTTTGTCGAACAAATGTATCTATCGACGGATTGGAGAACGATTCCCATTGGCTCGGTTCGAGTCGCGAACCGGTGAATGACTGGAATGACTGGATGAATCATTTGAGACACGGTCGGCGGGAGCGTGGCTGGCCGGTGCGGCGCGCGCGGCGTGGCGGCACGCGGTACGCCGGTCGCTGGTATCCATGGCAACGGATGCGTGCGTGGCGCCGGGACCGGGGCCCGGCGCGCCGCTCGAGGCGAGCTCTGGCGGCGCGACGCGGCAACAGGGAAGAAACCGCGGGCCCGAGCGCGGGTCATAAGTAGTGCCACAAGTTCAATGCTACCTCAAGGTCACCGCCAATCTCCACCGTTGCCAAATTCGCCCCCGGGAAAACCTCCGCTTTCCCGCTCCCAAGGCCGCCCCTAATTTCACCCCCTTCGGGCTCTATACATCGTCACTAGACTGCCGGGTTACCGAAGAGAATAGTCATCTCAAAATTCCAAGTGGAAAAGGGCCAGCAGCCCAGCACTGCCTGAGCGAAAAAATTTATCGAATTTTTTTTTTTTTTTTTATGTAAAAATTTCACTAATCATTTAAATGATTAATCTCAATTGTTCGATTGGTGGAAAATCGACGAATTTTTCATTTTGCCATAAGAAAGGAACCAATTTATTTCATTTTTAAATTCAAAGCAATAGAATGAGCTCAAATAAAACTTTTAGAATCTAAGCTAGAAAAGCTGATGAGAAAATTCCTAACAATTCCACTTTTCTTTGCCTTGTGATATTCATAAAAATCAAAAATCGATTCCATGAACCCGTTCCCACACATTACCCCATTGACTTTTGAGGCTATGTTTACATGTTGAACCAATCGATATGGATACAATCTCACCTGTTTGATATATCGAATACGATCCATTCCCACGTGAGCCCTGTTCCCCATAAAACTCTACGCTTTGCAGAGCTCATGTGGAAATAGAGATAAGCTCTTACGTCGTCAGAGAAGCGACGATCTGTCAGTGACCACTGGCCACTGACCACGGACCACGGACCACTGGCCGCTGACCGGCGCAAGTGAGCCCAGTTGAGGGCCCCGTAATGGAGTTGTCGGGATCGGGCCGAGGCGGAGAGGGCTGCGGGCCCCGTCTAGTGTGAATGAATATTCATGGCCCGTTTCGAGTGGTTTTTTGTCGCTCACGCAACGCCACACCGCTTGGCCGGCGACCAAATTTGGTTTTATAATCGGCTACAAATTGGAGTCCATTGTGGTCGCCGGGCGTCGTTAATTTTTTAACAAGCGGCTACCGGAATCCTCTCAAAATTCCCGTTCCTTCTTCCTTTTTGCCCACTTCCGATTCTCGCGGATTTCGTGGAATTCCTCTGCTTTGGAACGTTGAGGAACTTCATAGAAGGAGTGGAGGTGGGTGGTGGTCGGCGGGCCCCACACCGGAAAAAAAGCTCATAGGTCCCGAGTCAAGACTCTAAAATTTGACAAGAAAAAATACTCCTTATTTAATCGAATTTTTGCTTAAATCGAGAGCCAAGCCTTTTAATTCAAGCAGATTTCCTTTCAATTCAAGCATAAACCCGATTGAACCATTCAAGAGTATTTCTTTTTGTCAAATTTTTTAAGAATCCGAACTCTGGATCCAAGAGATTTCTTTTCCTCAGTGCACGATGACCCGTGAGATCCAGAAAAACGTCTGTAAAAACGTGGTAAAAAGTTCTGACTGTGCATGTGCGCCCTGAGAGAGCCTGTCATTTCGTGATGATACCACTATTCGACCACGAGGGAGCTCGGGTTGCCTACACTAAATATTGAAGGAAAACTGATTTTTTTAAAGTTTAAAGTAACCTCTTCCGATCAGAAAAACCTCTTTTATGTGTGTGTTCTAATAAGCTTGCACTTTCTCGATGATACCAATTTCAATCGCTTTTCTTTTTCTTCTCTTTTTCTCTCTCTTAGTCTTCTTTCTCATTTTTGCTATCTTTATGCTTTTTCCCTCTTTTTTCTCATGTTCTTATCTTCTTCTGCTTACTTTCTCTCTGTTTAAAAGAGAGAGAAGAAACAATTTGTCGCTGTTATGGAATGATCAGTCCTTTTAGTTCAAACATTTTATTTTTCAATATTTTGTAACTATTGTCTATGTCAAGCCGGCAACCAGGAAGATAAAACCATTCAGTCCTATTGTTGCCGGCCTAAATAAATTTTTGAAATCTAAATCTGTTCTTTTCTCTTTCTCTTCTACCTCTTCCTCTTCTTCTCCTGCCTGCTCCTTCTTTCCATCTTCCTCTCCTTCCTCTTTTTTTCTGCATTCGTTTACGTGGGTGACAATTTTCCCTAGCGACGACTTTGTTTTGCATGATCACTCGAGTGTTTTGACAGAAACAGTTCTTAGTAAGATATGCAGGTCGTGTTAAGAATGAACGTCATATTTTCATTCATCGCAAAGATGACTCCTCGATGAGTGGATCGATGATTAGTAACGCGCACTTAAGTGCTCTTAGCAAACATATCCGTGGATAATGCAACGAACGCAGAACGGCAAGAATAGCTCAAGCCACGGTTACCTAGGGAGGCCTCGACGCCGAGCTTCCCGCGCGACCGGGTGCAATGATTTTGAATTGATGAGACGATTCGCGTCATCAACGTCTGTAACGTTACGCCAGACACGTTCAACCCTCGCGATGACTTGGGTCTTTTTAGATACTGGTAACGTTTCATCGGTAGAAGCTTTGACTTCCGACTTTCAATCGTTGACCTACGCACCAATTTGTATTGGCTGTTGAGCGACATGCTGAGCTATTTGTTCAGCAAACAAGTCAAAGTTTGGTAAACTTGTTTGGCACATGAGTAAGAACCCAAGGCCCATCAGCCAAGTCTGTTGTATCATCGAAGGGAGAACCCTCTAAGCGTAAGGGCGAAAATGAAGCTTTGAGAATCTGTGTTCAGTAGCGTCTTAGCGGTCTATTTTATCGGATGAAGCCTCATTGGAAAGAAAAACCCGCTTGGATCTAGAGTCCAGACTCTTGAAAACAATGACAAGAAAAAATACTCTTGATTGAATCGGATTTTTGCATAAATCAAGAATCCAGCCTCTGAAATTAAGCGGATTTCCTTTTGATTCAAGTAAAAATCCGATTGAATCAAGAGTATTTTTTCTTGTCATTGTTTTCAAGAGTCTGGACTCTAGATCTAAGCGGTTTTTTTTTTTCCAGTGCTCCGTCTTTTGCCAAATCGCCACCGATAATCCGATGGACTCTCAGAAATCGTTTTGATTATTGAAAGTGGACGACTTCTATTTTCAACTATATGATAGGGCTATTATTTTCAATTTCAACTGAATTTCCATGTAAGCCCATACATCCGTAAGCGATATTTTACACGTCGGATTTGGTGGCACGCCTCTGCCGCGCGGTCGACTCTGCGTCGCGCGCTGCGTGTGGAAGCGTGGCTCGAGACGGTGGTAGCCGAGCGCGGGAAAGCTCCGAATTGCTACAAAGCTCGGGAATGCGGCGATCGGCGGGATCGCACGGGGAACGTGCCCTCCCAGTCGGAGTGTCGAAGCCGATGAGTCCACGGCTNGACCATGGAGCCTAATTTTAGCTCCGGACCGACGCTGGCTCCGGCCATGGAGCCACATTTTAGCTGTAGACCGGAGCTAGCTCCGACTGCAGAGCCTAATTTTAGCTCCGAGTTCGGAGCTAGCTACAACCTGGAGCCCAATCTGGGGCTCCGGGCCGGAGTTAGCTCCAACCGTTGAGCTAAATTTTAGCTCCGGGCCGAAGCTAGCCTCTACCTGGAGCCCGATCCGTGGCTCCGGCCCGGAGCTAGCTCCGACCGTGGAGCCTAATCTTGGCTCCAGGCCGGAGCTATCTGCGGCCTGGAGCTCCAGCCAGAGCTCCGGCCCGAAGCTAGCTCCAACCATGGAGCCTAATCCTGGCTCCGGGCCGGAGCTAGCTCCACCCTGGGAGCCCGATTCGGAGCTAGCTCCGGACCCCTGCTTCCGTTATCACATTTCACTCGCGACGCTCAGCAACCGAACGCGAGCGCTTTCTGTTGCGTTGGCGCGCGTTATAGGTAAACACTCGACTTGCCCCTTTATATGACTTGATGCGCCACCCAAGAGGGAGGCATAGAGAAAAAAAAGGAGGTGTTTGCATTTCGGGCATCTTGGAATTTTTTGATGCATTGATGACGTAGGTGGGTACAGCGACGTTTAGCTAAATATGGAAAACGGACCATAATGTCCGATTTTTTTACTTAAATCAACTCACCATATAATTTCAAGCACTTTTTATAGAATGACTTTTTTCCTTAAATTACACCATTTCCAAGAAAATCGACAGGATAAAAACGTCGCTGTACCCACCCACGTCATCAAGTCATCAAAAAATTCCAAGATGCCCGAAATGCAAACACCTCCTTTTTTTTCTCTATGAGAGGGAGGCATCTGCATCTAAGGAATCCTATTCCCGGGAAATTTCCCTAGACTTTCCAGCTGAAACTGAAGCGCATTTTCGCGTCTCGTCTAGGATCCGATGAACTTGCTGACATCGGTGAAATCAGTTTTTCATATGTCTCATCACTTTTTCCATTTAACATGTTTGAAAATTTGAATTATTTCCATTGGACACTGCACTGTGGGTCGGCGCAGAACGCATGTTAGCGCCTGCAAGGCTGCATGAATACTCCACGCATAGCGCGCGCTGCATCGTGCGCGCCGTCAGTGCCTGCAAGACTGCCTGGATACCTCACGCATTGCGCGCCTCAAACGTCGCGCCTCCTCTTTTCCCGTCTCATGTAGATCAAAGTTCCGAAGTGTAAACAACGTGCAGTAGCAAAACTGTTAGGTTAACGTTCAGTGTGCGCAAGACACACAGTGTGACAGACTCATCCATCAGCAGGGGGCAATCAGAGTGAAGACACAAGGAACCCATTTCTAATTTGCTCCCGCATATCAGACCTACATAGTGTCGCAAACGGGAATAAGACTCCGTTTTCACATGGAAACTGGAAAAAATGGAAAACTGGAAAATTGGAATGGACCTGGGAATCAGGGGCACGTCAGGGAACAAACTGGATAAGAGGGAACGGAGGATCTGAATTAGGGAATTAGTTACTCAAAGATTACGAGAAGCGATCAAAATTTGTAATGGAAAGCATGTGAAGATGTGCCCCGATTGTGGCATTCATAAGCCGACTTTTTAACTCTCCCTTTACAGGAACTTCAGCTAAAACAGAGTGTCCCAAATTCTCAAAAACCTGGGAAAATAGGAATGAAGTTCTTGCATGTATCAGAGAGTGTAAGTACTTATCCCTCTCGTAAAATTTCGCGGGAAATACGGCAATGCCATTGGTTTGTTTTTTTTTGGAGCTTGAGAGTTGATTTCAGAGAAAATCAGTGGCACTATCGTGTTTTTCGAGAAATTATACGTCAGAACTTGCACTCAAATTGCATATCCTTAACGCTTGCAAGAGCTCTATTAGATAGAAATATTAAACGATATCGAAGACTTCCACGTTTCTCCTAAAATTGTAATCGTTTTCATGATTGCTCCAATTTTCTCATTGGCTTATTTTGGATGTTTGGAATTAAAGAGAGACAACCAACTTGGGTTGCGCGCGCCAAGTTTCTGACACGCTCGTTTCGCTCTTTCCAGATGAATGCGCCTTCAAACAAGAGTGATACCAAACAACAAGCATCACAAAATGTTCAAAACATCAGCTCGTTATGCGTACGAATGCCATTTTTGGGCAAGATCTGGCACACAATGCTGTTGCACGCAGCATTAAATCGCGTGTTGATTGTTGTATCTCGCAGGACAAATTCAAAATATTTGTTCTCAACTTGGGATTTTTGACTGAAAGAAACGTGCGGCCACTTACACTCGAAACTATTCCAATCGATTTTTTTTTCTTTTCGAAAAATAACGTTGACCTGGTTGCTTTCCGCGTAATTCAGTTCAGTTTTGGTGTTTATTTTAAACCTGAAGCTCGCACCATCGCCCCCCCCACCCATTTTTAAAGCAGGGTTCCCACCTCGCCAAAACAACGACTTTTAGAATTTTATTCGCCGCTAGTCGAATGCCAAGTAATTTTTCTCATTTTATTTGCTAAAATACTACTTCGGCGTAGCATCGCAACATTTCTTTTGGTGGCCATGAGCGTAGCGGAGTTGAGCCCCCTTTACCCCCCCCCCTTCCACGACGGCCCCCTCGCGAAATGATCAGACACCAAGCGAAGATTCTAACCGCTGGAGCTCGAGTCTCGCACAATGAGGCGCATCACGTCCGACCTTGAGCAATATTTTCATAATAGAAGAGATCGGAACGAGCGACTGTCACACGAAATTTCTTTGAAACGAACGTACTTGCATTTTTTCTCTATTTCTGCTGCCGAGTGAGACGAAAGTGCGGCGNGGGGGGGGGGGGGGGGGGGGGGGGGGGGGGGGTTAAGGCCGCCGGCGTTATGATAGTCTTTGTCACCGCTCGAACTTGTTGGCTACATTTCCCAGATGCCCAGTGAATGGCCCCCACAAAGGAGTACAGTTAGTCTCGATCGCATTTTCGCAGTCCATTTCGAGTACCGCGAGAAGAATGCGAGCCTCCCAAGAGCCCCCCCCCCCCCCCNGGTGACGTCATCGCGGTACACTCGCACGCTCCGGATCATTCGTTGCGCAGTTTAGCGGATAAACGAACGATTTGCCGGCCAGTGCAGTGCAGCAAGCAACCAACTTATGCCGGTTTCATGCACTTTTTGGCGGGTGGTATAGATAGATGTAGGCGCCCCGTGAGGGGGTCTGGGAGAGAACCGAATGCTGACGGGGACATAGGCGGAACCAGACATCCCGAATAGGGGGGGGGGGGAACGAGGGGGGTTCGGGGAGCTTACCCCAGAAATTTGAGAAATTTTAAAGCATCCATTGTTCAGCTTGAGTCAATTTCGTCATGAATAATTACTACAGAGCGTTTCTCCTTCTCCTTTTCTTTCAGTGCGCCCATTTCCCGGAACTAATTTCGAATTCCGGAACTTTTAGGATTTTACCGATTTTTTCCCGGAAACTTCTGAGATTTTCCTGAATTTCTCCTTGAACTTTTGAAAAAAACTATAAGGAATCTCGGAACTTTTGACGGGCATGGAGTGGGAGAAATTGGGACAAAAAAGTTCCGAATCCCGGAACTTTTGACGGACATGGAGTGGGAGCACTGCTTTCTTCCCTCTTTGTTCCTCCTTTTTTTCGGGCGAACGAGGGGGGTGACGCCCCCTACGCTCCCCCTGGATCCGCCAATGACGGGGGACCCGAAGGAGGACCCCCGAAAATTTCAAAAGTTGAAATTCTTTGATGTGGCATACTCAGTTCTTTCGGTCCCTTGGTTCTCATAAAATGGAGTGGAAAGTTAAAGTAAAATGTTTAATTTCAATCCCCTGAAATTCACCGCTACTGAAGGACGCACGTCCCCAGACACCAATGTGCCTTAACTATTAATTTTCTGTACTCGAATTTTTAGTTGCTGTTACTTGTGTATAATCAACGAATGAATTTCTGATTTCAGAGCGGGAGGACCAATCGATTCTTTGCACAGGAGAATCCGGTGCCGGTAAAACCGAGAACACGAAGAAAGTCATCCAGTATTTGGCCTACGTCGCCGCCTCAAAGCCCAAAAGCTCAACCGTCTCCCACACTGTAAGTTTCCGCTTAGTTCTCGTTCATACTTGCACGTTTTCTGCGCCCCCGTCTCGTAGGTAGGTAGTTAGGCAGTGGAGGGATACTTGCAATGACTATGCCAGCGCACCGCTCGCTCGTTCGCTCGCTAGCAAACAAAAACTAGTCTGGCTCAGCTGAATTTTCCCAGGCTTGGTGAGGATGGAATGGGTGTCACTCCCGGCGCAGACCAAAGGCATCGTCCCAGCGGGCTGATCATTGATATCTATAGACTATAAGTGTTAGACGAAGAAGAAAAAGGGGAAATGGGAGGAATGGGGGATGGATGGGTCTCATCGGTTGATACAAGGAAAAAAAACCACATTGGATCTTGAGTCTAGACTCTTGAAAACATTGACAAGAAAAAATACTCTTGATTCAATCAGATTTTTGCTTAAATCAAAAGGAAATCCGCTCAAATTAAGAGGCTTGGTTCTTGATTTAAGCAAAAATCCGATTGAATCAAGAGGATTTGTTCTTGTCGATGTTTTTAAGAGTCTGGACTCTAGAGCCAATGTGGTTTTTTTTCTAGTGAATTGTTATACTCATAGACCAAGGAGAAAAATGATGAACTAACTTACAGGCTCTCTCGTGAGCTGCTGTTAATTAGTCTCATCACTCAACTCCTCAGTCCATTGCAACCACCCGGTTCTACCTAAAGAACTGCTCCATTTTCTCCTTGTCTCTTTTGTGTATAGCTTTGTCTATCGATTTCAACAGTCAGCCCGCAGTGGCGATACTTTCAAATTGACAACACTGTTTTACCGCCGTTTATATAAATAGTCGATTTCATGCGGGACACTGCCTTAATATGCAGACATAATTCTGCCGTGTTACCGAAGAGAGCAATAACGCATTTGAGTTTCTTTCAAAATTCGTATAATCTAATTTAGATAAACTCACTGATACAGCAAAAATTGACTTATTTTTGTAAACAACCGAGCTATGATAAAGCCGTAAGTGCGCAAAAATTGAGCAGCAGTAAAGATTATTATTAGCCGCCTGAGAGCTGTGCTGAGGTATTGAGTAAAATGGCGCCCTTTTCTGCCAATTTCTGACTTTGAAATGTACTTGCTTTGTGCCCCAAAGTACGAAACAAGATGAAAATGACATCGAAATGAAACTGAATTTCGTCGATTTTTAATGATTCAAGCGATTTGTGAGAGTCTTCCGGTGGCACTTCGGCAATGATCCGATACCTCTTTTAATACAATTTTTCGCTCAGATGCTGCTAAGCCTATTTCCTCAAAACTTCATTTTGGTACTTACGGCTGCCTTCGGTAACATGGCATGTGTCCATACTCTGTGTTTAAAGGCACCTGAGGCCAGCGACGCCTTGAGCAAACATTCTCACCAATGCCCCAAACGCATAGTTGTAGAAAGTATTTGTAAGTAGCTGGAAATTGATTGAGAAACATTAGTGACTTGCGTTTAGTTTGCGAATATGGTTCAGGGATACGGCAGCAGAGTGAGCTCCGTCAAGTAGGAACAAGAACAGGGGATGAAATTTCCTCCACCAGTTGTATTTTCTGTATCCATTCATCGGTCTGAATCTTCCTTTTCGTCTCCTCCTCCAGTGAAATCTCCTTTCTTGCCCATTTATTTCATTTCTTCTCTATTGACTGGGCTCCATCATCTTCTCATCTTCAGTCTCTCCATTCAATTCATCGTCTGTATTCCTTTCCAAGTCCCTTTACTGCTTCAACAAAAACGGCCTGCAAATTATGTATGAGCTCACATGGATAACATTTTGCCGATGGAAAATAATATTTCTGGCTACTTTTGTGCCAATAGTTCTTCCATGCAGATAGGCGCTTTTGTGGATGAGCGAAAACTATAGTCCATGTACAGGATGTCGCATATTTAATCGCGAATATTTTCTGAATCAAGTTTTGGAGTCAAAATAAGAATTTGTTGGTCCATAACGTTTTCCCAAAGAAATCCCCGCTTTAGAGGTACAGCCTTGCTCCCCCCCCCCCTCCCCATTGAAATACGATTTCCGTTTTTTAAGGTCAGAAACGTGATCAGCGTGTAAAAGAACTGGAAATGCCACTTTTCATGCATTTTCATACATAACTATCGTCTTATTCAAGGAAAGTCAGTTTTTTTGCCCAGACTTAGAGGGTTTGTAACTCTTGAGGGAAGATTTCTTGGGAAAACGTTACAGAACAAAAAAATATTACTCTGATTCCAAAATTCGATTCAAAAAATATGCGCGTTTACTTTTGTAACATTGCGTACATTAATAGATCGAAATTTTAATAGATCCTTTTATGATCCTCGTAATATCGAAGAAAATCGATTAAAGCTCATCGTCAGTCCGAACTTGAGGAATCGACGGCACTTGCGGTTAGAAAAACCGAAGAAGAAGAAGAAGAAGAAGAAGAAGAAAGAAAAACAAAACACGGGAGCCCTTGGAAAATGCGCATACACATGCTCAGGTGCTCGCAGTGATACGCACAAGAGACGGCCCCTCCCTGCTAGCCCCCCCTCCCCCTCCCACCGAAACGGAAAAACTCTATATATGCATCGGGAAGGCCGTGGGGGTCATGGAATTAGAATTTGATAATGCCGCGCAGCGCCGCGCCGTGGCCCAGATTTCAAGCTGCCTAATAAGGGCATGCAGTTGTCTCTATTACAAGCAACCCCATATACGGTATATTCCCGCAGCCACCACTGCCAGTCGGCCGTGACGTCACAAGCATCATGTTTTTAACCGGAGAAACAAACAAACCAACCATCGGAAACGCTCGCCTGAGAACTGGGCTCCCATAATCACCTTGATTACCTTTATTTCTCGAGTTGTAGATGGACTGCATTTTCAGGGCCGGATTTACATTTTTAGCGCCCGCAGGCCGAACTCTGGCGTCCCTACAAGAGGGTGATATCTTGGGGAAGGGGGAGTCTGTGACGCAACTCTTAAGGAGCATGATAGGTAATAGGAAAACAGTTAAAGTTATCCTTTAAAAACCACGAATTTCTGAAAATCCGTACGAAACCTTTGAAAATTCTAGCTCCAAGCCGAAAAGTGCTACTTTTTGACGCACTGGAAAAAAAACACATACCAGACGTCCAGACTCTTGAAAACATTGACAAGAACAACTACTCTTGATTCAATCGGATTTTTGCTTGAGTCAAAACGAAATGCGCTTAAATTAAGAGGCTTGGTTCTTGATTTAAGCTAGATTCTGATTGAATCTACAGTACTTTTTCTTGTCGATGTTTTCAAGAGTCTGGACTCCAGATCCAATGTGTTTTTTTTCCAGTGCGTAAAATCAAGATTTTAGGAAAAAGTGTGGAACCTATCGTGCGGAAATTTTGCTAATTTTGCTAATTTACCATAAAAAATGTGCACATGAAGGGACTCACGTTGTGACGATCGTAACTCGCGTGCAACGCGAAAAAGACAGTGGCGAGGCGTGAATGATCGATTATTATCGATACTTGCGCATTTGAAACAATGGTAAATAATCGATTATTAAAGTATTCGTTGCAAATACTCTGTTTATCGATCCTTTTCCATAGATTTAAATGGCAGATAAATCGATGTATCGCAAAGCACGCCACGCCACTGGAAAAAGAGACGGCCGATCCTCTGGATCAGCAGAATAGCCGCGCCCCGTCCGGTCCGGTCGGTCTTACAATTTTAACCCTTCTTCAAAACGCTTCTACGACTTCCCTTAAAAGGCTTAACCGAAAACGCATGGCTCATGCCGAGCCGGCCCAAGACCTGGATTTGTTTTTCTACTCGATCTCTTCCGCGATGTTCCAACGATATATTTTTAACACGCATTTAACATCACGCTACGTCGCTTGTAAAGAATCACCCCGCGTTCTGTTTCATACGCTTCCACCCCTTTTGCAGTGAATGAGCCTATCAGAAACTTTTGCCAGAGCAGGAAGATGAGTTTCCACCAATAGAAGTGGTTCGAAAATTAGGGGGAGAATATTGGGGAAGTTTAAAATTCACGCACAACTTCACAATGAACCACTACGCCTGCCTCTTGTTTTCAACAACTCAATAGCCCTTTCTAATGTAAAAACACTTAGTCTATCTATAGCTTTTCATAGAATTTGAATGAAAATTCCGTCTATATCCCGGTTGATACCTCTGAACCTGCTCCGCGGCAATAAAAAGTGAAAAAAAAGCTTCGTTCGATAAAACTATAGGTAACGACAGTTACTATAAATAACACAGTAAAAATAAATCCAAATTAGGAGTTTTCCAGTTTCTTTTCATCAAGCACAACGATGCGAATTATTCCAAGCAATAAAGCAAGCATTCCACTTTTTTTAAACCGAGTTTATCAATATGGAAACGAACCTCCTGGTCAAGTCATATTTGAATCGAAAGAAGGAGGTTTGAAGTTTTATTTATTCCTGAGACTCAACGTCATGGGAAAAGCTTAACGACTCTTTTACATTCAAATTATTTTTCTAGATCTGAACTTCTGACAAAAGAAAATTTATCCTTAATCAAATTCAAACTTAAATTCTTCAACTCATTCTCTCCGAAATGCGACTTGGAGCGTCTCTTCTAAACTCGGCTCATTCCTTCCAGCGGGCTGATTATTGACATTGATAGACAAAGAAAACATGGGGAGTATGGAGCGATCCTGTTGGTTGGAATGGGTGGTTCCTATAGACTAAGGGAGAAAATGATGGACTAACTACCGGGGATCTCGTGGGTTGCCGTTAGTTAGTCTATTACCTACCTCCTTCGTCCATTGCAACCACCCGCTTTCACCAATAAAATCTCTCCATCCCTATTTTGTCTTCTTTGTCTATAGCTTTGTCTATCAATTTCAATAATCGGCCTGCAGATGGATCGGTAGAGTGCGTATCCGATAAATTTTTCCCTGCTCCGGAAAAGGGCATGATTCCATCGCTGAATTGCGTAAGTTCAAAGGTATTTCAAAAGCTCTCCATTCAGACGGCAGCCTTAAATTCCCGCCCGCAGCGGCTCGGATCGTGCAAAAGCTGTCCAACTGCATTTTCCCACAGCAGCGGCCAATTATCAAGCTTCCTTCTAGGTTGCGTTGTAAATAGCTCGAAGGAAACGGTTCCTTATCGGCAACAAGACGAGAAAGTGTCGATTTGAATAAGCTCCGCTGTACTTTAAAAGCTCGCCGAGACATTTTTAACCGAGCTCCGATTTTAATTTTTGCCCTCGGAGACATTCCGACGCAATTTCAACCGCTGATCTCGCGGACGGAAAGTTCATCGCGGTTTTCGAAGGATTGAGGCTGGATTAGCATGAGGATGAGTCGGTCAGGATTTCAAAACCTCTAGCTGGATTGTGGATTCAATATTTGAATGCGATCGTGGTGAGTGGGTCCTTCTTCCTTACATCCACGGTGGTTTCGACCATGAAAAAATTAGGGCACGAATAATTTGCGACAATCCGTGATGTATTCGTAGACACACTCTATAGGATGAGTCATCAGCGGGCTGATTATTGAAATCTAGAGACAACGAAATTGAAAAATAAGAAAGTGGGGAGATTCTATTGGTTGAAATGGGTGTTTGTTATAAGATAGGGGGGGAAACGACTTCTGCTGTGGCAGTTATAAAAAGAAGAATCTATAATGTATCCGTAGACACACTTTATTGGATGAGTCACCAGCGGGCTGATTATTGAAATCTATAGACAACAAATTTGAAAAATAAGAAAGTGGGGAGATTCTATTGGTTGAAATGGGTGGTTGTTATAGGCTAGGGGGGAAAATGACCTCTGCTGTGGCAATTATAAAAAGAAGAATCTATAATTTTTAATACACTGTTCATGTTTGTTCTTTTACTTACTTTTTCTATACCGTTATCCTCTCCTCAAGTCCTCCAGCTAATCTTTTCTAGACTCAATTTGCTAAAACCCTCTTGAAACTCATCACTTATTTCTAATCCTCATGCCTTTTCCTTGAGACTCAGACCGACAAAGATCAGCGCATTGTAATGGATTTTCAGTTATCTAGAGCGTAAACAATTCTCTTGCCAGGAACTGATTTCAGTTGTCTATCTCCTTCTGTGATTTTTTTCTGCCTTGCCTGAAGAAATTATTTAATTTTTAAAATTCGTAATAGGATCTATTAAGATAGGTCATCTCATTCAGTATAGCAGTAAATTCTATGCGCATAGTTTCTATCGTCATAGTTGATCCAACATGCCTCATGTGATTTGTTTTTGATGCCCTAACATCCATTTGTCTCAATTAAACACGCTTTGTGTGATACTAAATCTTCACGTTTAAAGATGAAGAGCATTGAAAAAAGGATGTAATGTATAAAGTGTGAGCCTTATGAGGAATCACACTTGACAAGAAGATGATTTCACGCCTATAAATTGAGAATTTGAGGCTTGGAAAAATTCTAATCCTCTTTCAAATGCACTTCAAATTAATTTAGTTGCTCTGCACCATAATGAGAAACCATATTCTAACAGTTAGCAAGATTTGTTGGCCTCTGCAGTTTCTTAAAATTGTGTATTCGAAGCTCATTCTCATTGGTTTTGTTTTATTCTGTCGATGTTTTCAATTTGCAACTAAACTTTTTAATGAACAAGACAAGTCTGAATAATTGGAACTATTTTTCTCTAGTTTATCTGACATTTTATACTATTCTCCGTAGCCTTTGTCTCCCTGTACTTGTGTAAAAAAAAAGCAAATATTTTTTTTAAAAATTGACGCATTTCTTTGATTTGACTTGTGGTTAGCTTTTTAGCGAGTTGGTAACTGAAAAATGGCTAGAACATGGAAGTTTTGGTCTTTATACTGCTTGTTATGTAATATTTATCTTATGGATCGGGAAAAAGAAATTGGTTGAACTGGTTGGTTTAAGGTGGAGGGTTTTTCGAGCTGAGAAAATCAAAGTATAAATATTTACAGAAGTTACGAAAAATGCGCGGAAGTATTCTAAATTCTTATCGGTGAACGTAAAGTTTTCTGTCGTATTGAGTGTTCACTTATCAAGGAAGAACATCTCATTTACGAGTCCTGTATTTTGTACGTTCACGACAGTTTTTAGAATTTTTTTTCTACTCAAAGCAACCACACAGCTCACAAAAGGGATGGCCATATTTTCTTCTTTCACAGTATATCATTGAAATATAGCACCTTTCACCAGGGACGATTTTGCAAGTTGGCAACACTGTTTTTTCTCCATTTAAATCCATTCAAAATATCGATTTTAGGTGAGGCAGTCCCTCGCCTAGAATCGATTGTTTCACATATATTTAAATGTAGAAAAATCAGCTTTTGCAACGTTCAAGCATCGCCAATGCCTTTCACACCAGTTAATTTTGCGCAAATTTTCTAAAATACTCTCAAATCTTAAATTCTTAAAATTAAGAAAGTAGAGGAGTGAGAATGTACAAAATGATTCACTGAAAATTAGCCAATTATAATGTAGCAGTCTCGTCTTGTTCAGAAGCATTATTTGTCCTCTTTCCACTTGGTTTGATGACTTTTTGTGTTTGTTTTGTTTTTTCTCTCACTTCCTCGCCTCCCCCTGTCTTATTGTGTTGGCTTATATCTCTTGACACTACCTTTCGTCTGCATGGCACATTGAACCCCATCAGGCTGCCCCCACATTCAATTTTGTAAGTACCTTATTATTCTCTGCACGTTGCCAGATTTCTGTGGAAGGAGCCAGATTTTTCGCAAGAGGCTGCTGAGCACTAGCACTGAGTCCTGATCGCAAACGAAATGAGAAAAATGGTTCAACATTGTGTTCCAGAATCGTATTTTGATGGTCGAGTCTCTTGATAGTGCGATAAAGAGTGAATCAGGATTAGACAATCAGTTTCTGAGTCTTTTTTTACAAAAAAGTCCTTTAGAAAATTGTTAATGATGCACATCAGTCCATAGTATAATTGTCTTCAGTCTGATCACAGCAGTGATTTATGTCGTCCCGTGTAAATTTTATTCATCACATCATTGATTGATGGAACTAAGGTGGAAAAGTCAGTAATCCGCACCAGAGTAATATGCACTTATCCACCACTGCATTGTCATTTCCTGATTATTGATTGTCTGTTTCTAGAAACTTAACAATGATAAAGATCTTTTTTTTTTCATCCATCATTTAAGACTTACTCCCTGAAAGTGGACTTCTTGAGCAGCGTGAATGGTCAATGAAGTAAAATTAGGTCACCTTCAGAAGCACTTTGTTAGTTGTTTTTTCCTTGTTTTCAAAAAATCTTCATAGACTTTGCCTTTATAGACTTAGTTTTTCTAAGTACTGATCATTCTGATCAGCTTTACTCTGGTACAAGTGTACGGAAGGCAGTGCTTTTGCCTTAGCGCAAGACCTGGCCCTCTCGCAAAATCTGTCAACCTTTTTTCACTAGCTACATGCATTTCTGTCTCCAGACTTCATCAACGTCTCTGCAGACAAAATTAAAAGTTTTAATTCCTGCATCATCTTTGATAGTTTAAAATTACCCAGTCCAAATTTGAAAATCAAAAGTCAAGTATCATAAGGTGCACCGGTACACAGGAGTTCTCTCCAAATTGGTCGTCACCGTTATTGGTATCAGTTTTTATCAATACTAAAAAGGAAACAGGATTGCCTTCAAAGGATTAGAAACTTACCGGTGATTTATTTTAAGATTGAAGAACATTTAAGCATATTCAAATTTTTATAGATTTATAGGCGTTCACAGCAACGAACAGAAACATTTATCGCTTCTGTAGATCAGTTCTTTCCGTATGTAGTTTTTATTGAATTGATGCACTTTATGGATATGAATGACTCATTTCCTTATCTTGCAGCTTGTTAAGTTGATGCATTTTTTGCACTCATAATGCTAGATATCAGAATTTTTCTTTGATTGGCATGAAATTTTTGGTCCCCGACTTGGAAAATGTATAATTAGTGCATGTACAAATAGTAGTAGTATTTTCTAGATTAGAAACTAGAGGTGGAAGTAGTTCAATTTGGGCTAGCCACCAGCTTCATAGATTGGAGTGGTGATATTTTTTACCTTCGCTTCCTCAGATTATTATTCAGCCTTCGTGAATTTTGAATTTTAACTGTAGATTATGATCTAGTTTTAGTTTTTTCTGGCCTCCGTCTCTCCTGTACTTTCCATCTCAAACTTTTTGAAGGAAAAATTTGTTGTTTAGTCCGAAGTTCTATAGATATTAATGGGCTTGTGAATGAGATGCAAGTTCCAGCATATCTTTTCACGTTTTCCTTTTAAAATTTTATGCAAATAATGATTTCTAGTATGGAAGAGTAGTAGTACAGGAGGATGCTATTGGTGTGTCATGGTGCATCCGCAAGTTTTGAGTAAAGCTCTACTAAATTGGCTGTCTCGGACACGAATGTACTTAAGGATGTAGTAACATTTCTCACGATCAGAAGTAAACATTTCATCCGCCCGGACCTTAATGCCTATACTTTCATTGATTTCAAATAAGTTTGGAATATGTTCATTCTAGAAGTGGTTAAAAGTGTTGGTAATTTTCTTGAGAATAATTTTTACTGAAAAGTGTCCTTCATTCCGTTTTGAGGAGTTCGTTTGAACTTGACTCTTCGCAGGGAAGGTCCTCAGTCGAAAAAGCCAAATTTTGAATTTTTGTCCCACTAAGCCAAGTTTCCATAGTAAACACACAATTAAAAAGGTTTTATCTAATGGATGACCATTTAATCATTCTCTTTATATTCTTAATTAACGAATTGTTTAGTTTTACACAAGATGTAGTTTGTTTTTTTTCTCTTCTTTTTTTTTTCATTCATATCTGCTAACATAAACAATTCGTATAATATCCTCCTCTAAGAGATGCTTTTTAAACCCCAAATTAAGCTATTGAGAGCTGTCACCAATCTGAGCATTGCACTGATTAAAAACCCCATCTCTCCAGATGTTTTTAGTCTTTACTTATTAGGTACTTGATCCCGTATTTATCTTAAAATATGGAATTGTTTCATGCTTCCTTTGCGTAGCCAGTCTTTAACTTTGAGGTTTGTATTGCATTTTGCATCTATTTATTTAATTTGTCAATACTATTTGAATTTATTTCTCGACACCTCTTTCTTGATATCACATCTAATCCTTTGAAGGGAATCGCACAAAATCCTCTTTTTTAATTCCCTCAGTTCTGTAGTACATTATTGAATAATATCTATTTGCAAGCATATTTGAACAGATGAATTTTGTCAGGACAAACTCCTAAGGAGTAAATGATAGATATTTTGAATTAAACCGATTTAAGAGCACTCCACAAGATAGTTTGAATTTTTGTGTGATTGCAAATTGAACTCTAGTAGAAAATAAGATGCAACTATTCAATTTTACCCATCTGGGTACTGGGTGCTCAATTATGATTAATCAGTGTCTAAGATGGAATGTGAAGATATGCGGTATTTCGGGCGATATATCGTCACTGTTCCCAGCAAGAAAGGAAAACAACATCGAAAGATGAGCTTGTACACCCGAACTTTCCAGTATGAAAAGGGAAAAAAATATTGGAACTCTGCGCTTTTGCCAGCAGAGAAACATTGTAATATTAGAAGGTAGATAATGAACAGCAGTATACCAGTATTTATCTTCTTACTTGTAAAAGTTTTAACACATTGAACGCTGTTTTAATATTATATTATTTTCCCTGTGAACTGAAGCTCCAAATAGCAGCTGTCTGGTGCAGTCGTAGTTCAATATATATTTCAACAATTTTTATTAGACTGGACGGTATCCTCTAATTTTTCTAATAATTCGATACGTAGGTAGTATTTAAGCTCCTAAGTTAAAAAAAAAAAAAAGAAAAAAATGCTCTTATTCATGAACAGGCATTCTATTTATTCTAAAAGGAAAGAAAATAATTTTCAGTAGGTGGACTAAGGTAATAGCACATATGTGCAGGGAAAATTACAATTTACTTCGCAAGGTTGCAAATCAACAATGCTCCTAACATTTTACCATCTGTTTTTCAGGGTGAATTAGAACAACAGTTGCTTCAAGCAAATCCCATTTTAGAAGCGTTTGGAAATGCCAAAACCGTCAAGAACGATAATTCTTCCCGTTTTGTAAGTATAATCATAGTTCCTCTATTTATTTGTCCGGTTATCTATTTTTGTATCCGTAAAAAAAAAAATGTATCCGAAACGACGGCTTTTATCAGCAATATGTAGGGTGATCCTCTTAGAAATTTGGGGGGTTGCCAAAAGTAGTTTCCTATGATTTATGATCACTCACAAAACTTCAAGTCTTTATCTTAATTTGTTTCAAAGTTACGGAGTTAATGCCTGTTGTTGGTGGGACGGGACCTTTAGATCATCCTGTACGGTTTGCCTTGAGAGAGATGTAAGAAGTCCTAATCTTAATGAAGAAACGTTCCTTCAAATTTTTACACACCTTTTTACTGAGTGAATCGTTTAAAGAATTTTTGTCAGTTTTTCAAAGATTTAACTGTTGGTTATATGATCTGGTTTATTTGGCCGAAGATATGACACATTTAATATCTTCTGTTTCCTGCTTCAACTCTATTGAATATTTTTCTGTTTTGCTCTATTTCTAGGGTAAATTCATTCGCATCAATTTTGATGCATCTGGCTATATTGCCGGAGCAAACATTGAAACCTATTTATTGGAAAAATCTAGAGCCATTCGTCAAGCTAAAGATGAACGAACATTCCATATTTTCTACCAATTACTTGCCGGTGCCTCACCTGAACAAAGGAGTAAGTTTGTTTTTATGATTAATACACCTTGTTTAAGTCTGAAATCTTAGAGGTACTTTGTTTAATTTGAGTTTCTCACAAGATAAGAGATTTTATGAGCTATTACATTCGTATTCGAAGTTAGAATACTTTAATCCTCTATTTTTATGATGTACCTTCAGTATTGTAAGCAATAAATATTTCTTTTGTGTCAAGAGGATTCTGAGAGATAGTTAAAAATCAAAGAATTGTTTTTCTTTGTCCATCCAGCCTCCAATTCATGGAGACGGAGGCTCGCTTCGAAAGCCTCAAAGTCATCGGTGACACGGGTGACTGGGGGTGCAGAGGGAACCCCCTACCCATCTGTGAGGGTGCGCTCCAAACAGCTAGTAAAGAAATAATGCTAAAATAAAAATCTCGGGCCTTCTTTTCTCAAATGTCTCCTTCTTTTCAGGTGCTCTCACATTTCTCCCTACATTGGCAGATCGAGCACTTTCTGCTTCCCTGTAAGGGTTTGAGTATTGCATAGTACTTTACTATATGAAATGCCAATTAGGGTACCTCAATTAGTGTGTTTGATTTGTAACACTTTTTCTTTTTCTTTTTTTTCAGAGGAATTTATTTTAGAAGATCCCAAGACTTATCTTTTCTTATCAAATGGAAACTTACCAGTTCCTGGTGTGGATGATGCGGCTGAATTCCAATCCACAGTCCAAGCCATGGGTGTCATGGGAATGACAAATGAAGATTATTCAGGTTCGTTTTGCATGCGGTCAACACTTGGTGAAATATTATCTATACTTGAAAATACTTTCATACAAATCACTAAACATAAACGTGATAGAACAAGCAAAATGGGACCTCAAGTTTAAGGTCGAATTGTTTAGTAGAGTTAGGAAACCGGATTGAGGTCAAAAATACCAATTTTTAGCTGTCTCTGCTGAACGTTTTTAAAGCCTTCAAGTGTAGGGTCAAAATTTCAAGTCATTATTTGCCCTTATGTAATATCTGAAGTGTCTGAAATGATTAGTTTTCAAGGCCGACAATAGTGCCAGTAAACTTAAACTGCTTTTCTTAGAATTTGTTGTTTACTGTACTGTAATTTTGAAACACTCCCCAAGGATCAATGGGGACATGGCACAAAATTAAGACTGGAAATTGAAAAATCCTTTCCTTCTGAGGGCTCTTAATATACCTGACTCGTTTCTCGCTACAATATTAACGATCAGCAGAAATTCTAAAATAATATTTATAAGTATATATGCAGCAATATTTGTAGAGTGCTTGTATTCTTATTCAAAATTAAAATGCCACAATTTTTTCTCTACAGCCATTTTCCGTATTGTTAGTGCCGTCATGTTGTTCGGCAACATGCAATTCAAGCAGGAGCGTAACAGTGATCAGGCCACGCTCCCAGACAACACAGTAGCCCAAAAAGTAGCGCATCTCCTTGGTCTTTCGATAACAGAAATGACCAAAGCCTTCCTCAAGCCACGTATCAAAGTTGGTCGTGATTTTGTAACAAAAGCTCAAACTAAGGAACAGGTAAGCCAAATATACTCCTTTGTCCTGAAATTAATTAAAAGTGTTATATTAAAATATGATTTACAAGATAATTCAATCAAGTATACCTTCATCATCATCTATTGGTATAACACTCAATAAGTTATGATGTTTTTGTGTTCACTGAAAATGCACTTCTTTTGCCAAAAAAAAAAAAAAAAGAAAGAATGAACCAATATTTTCATCCCATGTGAAACTTAAACATGATGCCCAGGACTTGGAAAGATTGTGGAGTATTAGGATTTATCTGGGAACATAAAATATCAGGGAAAATCGGGGAAAAGGTGCTAGAATCGGATACCTCTTGTCTCCTCTTGGAGATAATTTTTTCAATTTGCTGGCCTGGAATGACACGGTCATGGACCATTTCTGAGGGAGAGGTGGAAAAATTGATACATTTTATTCTGAATTCCTGCGGGAGGTCAAGACTTTCTCCCAAAATTCTGGCAGCAATCGAGAGAAAATTCTGAACTCTCATCAGGGAAGCTTTTGCTGGTGATCAGGGAGTATCAGGGAATGGAACAAATGAGGAATTCAGACACCATGAATTTAATCAACTTTACTGATGTGAAGAATAAAGCTAAATGAATTTGTATGAAATTATTTGTAGTTCATCCAACGTATTTGCCTGAAATATGGTGTAATTTTTCTAGTAGAAATATGGAGGTAAGAAAAAAGGAAGTTGGTTTTGTTTTAAAATTTTGCCGAAAATCATCAAAATTTATGTGTCCCTTACACTCAGATGTGAGAGAAATTCAGTTATCACTGAAAATTACCAGTATATTAAGCTTTAATTGTATTATTAAAAAAATTTTAATTTTACACTCTCCTCTTTTCACTGGGAACCTAATAATTTTTTTGTTTCTTTACAGGTTGAATTTGCCGTTGAAGCAATTTCGAAAGCATGCTATGAGAGAATGTTCCGTTGGTTAGTCAATCGTATTAATAGGTCTTTAGATAGGACGAAGAGACAAGGTGCTTCATTTATAGGAATCCTTGATATGGCCGGTTTTGAAATTTTTGAGGTAAGTTTCAGATGTAATTTAATGCACCTGTTTTTCCATGACCATTTCACTTCCATGCTAAATTTTGTAAAATTTAAGTACATTCTGTCTCCAAAAGTACATTTTGTCTCCAAGTACACTCTAAACAATATTTTAATGAATGGAAACAAACATGAAAATGAATTCTCATACAGTTTTAAATTTTTTATACCTTATGTTGGAGTTTTTTTTTTTTGCCAACGTGCGTTAAAAAATTCAGCATAAAGCTGAAAAGCTCAATACATTTTTATACCTTCCTTACTGATGTTTATCAGTGAAAGTTTCTATCTACCATTACAGCGGTCATGGACCACCTAATTGTCCAAAAACAAAGCCTCCCCGTTAAAAATTAACAGAGAGTGTGCTCTTCATACACCATCGCTCATGACTCATCCACTGAGGCGGTGCGCACCATGGTTTCTTCCACCTTGTTTTCATCCTTATTTTAAGCTGAGAAGCCAGTACACATTTTTGTGTATCCATAATTGGTAGATCTGCAAGGTGAAATTAACCATCGGATGTACTACGGCAGTGAATGATGTCTTACACCGTCTCTTTTCAAAAAGCTGTATCACTATGAAGGTGGGTCGCAAACAGTAGGCGTTTAGGCAGATCCTATTATTTTTTGCTAATCTCTAAGCTTGAATAATCGAAATGCAATTCTGTGACCAGCCCAACTGACCCATTATTTGTAGGATCTGATAAAGGAATGTGTTTCTTTTCTTTTTCTTTCTTATGGTCAAAATTTTCAAATAAGATGTTAACTCATTATTTTTTTTTTCAGTTGAACTCATTTGAACAGTTGTGTATCAACTACACAAATGAGAAGTTGCAACAACTTTTCAACCACACCATGTTTATCCTAGAACAAGAAGAATATCAACGAGAGGGTATCGAGTGGAAATTCATCGATTTCGGCCTCGATCTCCAGCCTACCATCGATCTCATCGACAAGGTAAGCTGACATCAATCATCTGAATCTTGTCATCAATATTAGCAAGTTAGCTGTTGCACGGAGCAAAACAACAGTTTTAATTCAGTTCTGTTTCAAAATTTACATCAACATCAATGCAATAAAATCAATTCTAATGTCTGTCAAAGTGACCTATCAAAATCTATGGATAGAAAAAATCTTTCGGGTTTTTTAAAGTAAAACTTTGCAAAAAAGATATAATCAAAAGTTGGCATCAAAATTTGGTTAAACCCCGAAAATACTTCTCATTGATAAGAAAAGCAAAGCTAAAACTGCAAACTGAGGACAGAAAAAGGATTGACCAAATCAGGAGCTCTTGCAGAGAATCACTCTCATCTTTAACCATGAGTTGATTTAAATCTATAGTTTGCATTCCTATGGAATTATTAAATGATCAGGAGTGAATTAATTTTCTTATATATGTTCTCAAATGGTTAACATCAAGTAGGGGAAATTATATTCTAAACTCAAGCTGCACGCAAGCTGAGCTTTGTTTTTCAACAGGCTGGAGCCATCATCCCCAGTGCCTCTAATTAGTGCGGCTGTTAGCTACTGGCCTACAAGGTTTAGGCCCTAAACCTTCTTACTGTTTCATTCAGTGGCGAGGTGTGTTCTGCGCTGTATCGATTGATCTGCCATTTAAACCGGAAAATGATTTTTTTTAACCCAAAGCTTAAAAAAAATGGCTCTTAAGCTGATCCTTCACCGAGCCGTTGAATTAATATAAGTAAATTAGAAAATCATTATTGCCGTTTTTTCTCTGTTTGTCTGACTTGGTTCATCGTTCTTTTTTGCAGCCCATGGGAGTCATGGCTTTATTAGATGAAGAGTGTTGGTTCCCCAAAGCCACAGACAAATCTTTTGTCGAAAAATTAGTCACAGCTCACAGTGTGCACCCTAAGTTCGTCAAGAAAGATTTCAGAGGTGTTGCCGATTTTGCCGTCATCCATTATGCCGGAAAGGTTTGTTAACTGAACTTCAATTTTTTCTGCGCCTCGGAAGCATCGATTTCCCCTTTCAGTGCTCAATCCTACTGAACATAAGTTGAGCCATTTTCGATGCATGTACTTGTTTGAAGACACATTGCCCATTTGAGTGCCCAATTCAATAATTTTATGCTGATGAACCCATCAAAGCAGTATTTTCAGTTCTGCTCCTAGCACTCTTTTATATTCTGTATCCTTATTTGATCTACTTTGAAAGTTTGACTTGTCTGTAATTCATTGTTTTCAAATCTCATATTGTTGTTATTGAAGAAGAAGCACTTTAAAAATTTTAAATCTGCCAACTGCATTTAATATCAAGTTTATTCCTATAAATTTAATTTTAAGATCAGAAATTGATGTCTGGTGTGTAAATATGACACCATTTGTATTTCTGGTGGAACAGTTGCTATTTTTACATAGCTATGCCTCAGCTATCCAACCTAAGTGGTTTTAGTGAAGTCTGATCATGTCAACTTCAAGAGGAAAATGCAACTTGATCAATTCTGTATTTAACAACTTTTATTTGATTTCAGGTCGACTACTCAGCAGCAAAATGGTTGATGAAGAACATGGACCCATTGAACGAAAATGTAGTATCCCTTCTTCAAGCATCTCAAGATCCATTTGTCGTTCACATCTGGAAGGATGCTGAAATCGTAGGAATGGCTCAACAAGCTCTCAGCGATACACAATTCGGTGCTAGAACTAGGTATGTAGAAGTAAAGCTTGCAAATTCAAGAAAAACATGCAGATACAGAACAAACAAAATAAGAAAAAACTATATCAACTGTGTAAGTCTGCAGCCACAGGTTTGGGACGTTGCAGACTTCCTGTCACACTTTATTTCTTAAATGGGAAACTACTCTATGGCAATTCATAAAAACTGTTGTGATTTTTCTTGTCTGTGCAAGAAAATTCTGCAAAAACTTCAAGGAATGATGTCAATTTATTTTCTGTTATGAAATAAAAATATAAAAATGGGAATGAAGATTGTCAAACACAGCAAACGAGATATGTGGTTGCAGACTTACACCGTCAAAATGTTTTGATTGGTTTTTCGGTCACTTTCAAGCTTATAGTTGTAATAAAAGAATGAAACGAATCAAGCCAAAAAGTCCCAATTTATAGTTGCAAGAGGGACAGGCAACTAGATCCTATCAAGGTAACTGGAAAATGGATGAATCAATGAATATACATCTTGTAATGGAAAACCCTCAAAGTTGTTCGTTCATATTTCTGTAATCAAACTAATTCGCTGTTCGAATGTCTTTTTAGGAAGGGTATGTTCAGAACTGTTTCTCAGCTCTACAAAGAGCAGCTAGCCAAATTAATGATCACACTCCGGAACACCAACCCGAACTTCGTTCGTTGCATCATTCCAAACCACGAGAAGCGTGCTGGTAAAATCGATGCTCCTCTAGTCTTAGATCAACTTCGTTGCAATGGTGTCTTGGAAGGTATCAGAATTTGTCGTCAAGGTTTCCCCAACAGGATTCCATTCCAAGTGAGTATCTGAAGCACTCATGTCAGAAAATAATAAAACCTGTTCATTATAATCGTTTAGAATGAGGTCAATCGAAGTTTTGGGAATGAATTTCACTTCTTCAATTTTATTCATAATATTTGCAATCAGTTTTGTCTAAATCAGTTTTAACAGTTTTTTAAATACATTTTTAAGGTTGTGTTGGTTTTGATTGTCTAGATAACATATCCACTAATTTATGTGACCATGATTTAGAAAATTATGTTGACGAAATCTCACATTCTTTCAACCTTTTTTTTATATTTTCAGTGGGTCACTTTTTTAAGATTCATTGAAAATTCTATTTATGTATAATTAGAACTATAATCACGATCTCTGTAACAGTTATCGTAGGTTTTGCAGTAATATTATTTTTTGTAGATGAATATTGTCCTCTAAATTGTAATCTATTTTTTTTTTTTTTGCGCAGGAATTCCGTCAACGTTATGAACTGCTAACTCCGAACGTTATCCCGAAAGGTTTCATGGATGGCAAGAAGGCTTGTGAGAAGATGATCCAAGCCCTAGAATTAGACCCTAACCTTTACCGTGTTGGTCAGTCAAAGATTTTCTTCCGTGCTGGTGTCCTAGCTCATTTAGAAGAAGAGCGTGACTACAAAATCACAGATCTAATCGTCAACTTCCAAGCTTTCTGTCGTGGTTACTTAGCTCGTCGCAACTATCACAAGCGGCTGCAACAACTAAATGCCATCCGTCTCATCCAGCGAAACTGTTCAGCCTATCTCAAATTGAGAAATTGGCAGTGGTGGAGATTATACACCAAGGTAAAGTTGCTTTTATCTTTCTGTGCTACCTCATTTTATTTTTGTCTGTATTCTCAAAACATCTCAAAATCATTAGGTGCTGAAAAATTTATGCTTCAGTAGAAGAAATCCATTATTGTTGAATTGGATAGATTGATTGTGGATAATATCGCATTTCTTGTTTTCCCAAAAGAGTGTCTTTCACTTTAGCAAATATGTCAGTAATCAGTAAAATTTGGTTGTTCACTAATTTACAATGGTTTACAAGGTTGAATGAAGCAAAATTAAATGTTTATTAGTGTGGTATTGCTTTAAAATAAAAAAGCCATTGTTGAACAATTAATAAATACTGTAAATTTTACGAAACCAAGGAAAATAAAAAATGCCGGAGATTCAGAGAAAATGGAGGAAATCTCCAGCTATTGTAAGTGCATTGCAGGACTCTGCTCCGTACATGCTCATTTATTTTTTGACTGTAAATACCAGGTGTGCTTATCACTCTGTTCTAACTTTCAGGTGAAACCATTGTTAGAAGTCACAAAGCAAGAAGAGAAGCTGACGCAAAAAGAAGATGAACTGAAGTCGGTGCGAGAGAAACTAGATATGCAACTGAAGAATGCAGAGGAATATGAGAAACGTTACCAACAAGTTCTTGAAGAAAAAACTGTGCTAGCTGAACAACTTCAAGCGGAAGTAGAGCTTTGTGCTGAAGCTGAGGAAATGCGTGCCAGGTACGAATATCCATAATGTATCTCTGTTCTACATAGAGGTATAGGTATAGCTCCAGAACATTTTTTTTATATGAATTGATGACCACAGTCAGAAACCTGAAAACTCAAGGAAGTTTTCAGAAATTTCTTCGTGTGTCCCCAAGAAAAAATAAAGTCTGAGGGGGAAGTCTGCAGCATCACAAATGAAGGTATTTGGTTTTGTACTTTAGTCATCAATATGCAGGATATCCTCCATCAAAGCAGGCGAAGAATATTTTGGGAAAGACGATGAGGCAAAGAGTCATTGTTTTATTAATTAAATGCTGAAAAATCGAACAAAAATTGTCATGTATGCACCTGAGAACATTGTATGGCCTTTTGTTTCGTGCATTTCTCCTTATCAAGCTCTATAAAGATTATCAATTTTTCACACTCCATCCTTTGTTTGCATCTCTCAATGGTGAATTATTTTCGGTAATTCTTAATTAAGCTGCTTATGTCTCTGACCAGGTTATCAGCCCGCAAGCAAGAATTGGAAGAGCTGCTCCATGATTTAGAAGCAAGGATGGAAGAAGAAGAAGAAAGATCAAACACCTTGACTCAGGAAAAGAAAAAGTTACAACTGAACATCCAAGTGAGTTCTCAAAAATATCGCATATCAAATGTATTTTTGAGCATAAGTTTTTCTGAATCTTCATAATACTTCCTCTCTTTCTCTACGTCACTTCCTCCCCCCTCTCCCCCAAATTATTCGTAACTAAACAGAATGAAATAATTGTACTGAAATTAACTTAACTTGTTTGCTGTCTTCAATCTTGGCACTGTTCCATTTCCATTTGTTTCAAGGATAACATGATTGATTTCTGTTGATTCTGTTGGTTTCATGTTGATTTCTTGTTGTTTGACAAGGGTCAATCATGTTTACTGCGTTGATATCACTGAAGAAGCTCTAGCCTTCAAGAGAAGTAATGAGTTCCATGAGTTGTGAGTGAGTTCCATGTTTGTCGAAACCAAGGAGAGCACTGTTTTACAAGGAAAAAGTTGGAGAGGAAGCTTATGAAACCATTGCAAATTTCCATCGATCAATTAATCATAATTTGTTGCAGTTTAATTTTTCTGGTAATTTAGTTGATTCTATCTCAGACTTAGTTTTTGTTTGTGAATTTATTCTGATGAGTTACCTCTTTCTTAAAAGTAAGCAGTGTCTATAATTTTGTTTTTAATTTCTTCTTTTTTGTTCCTCTAGGATCTAGAAGAGCAACTAGAAGAAGAAGAGGCTGCCAGGCAAAAACTTCACATCGAAAAGGTCCAAATTGATGCTAAAGTCAAGAAACTCGAAGAAGATCTTGCTTTGGCAGAAGACAGCAATGTCAAATTACAAAAAGAGAAGAAACTTCTAGAAGAACGAGCAGCTGATCTGTCCCAAGCCCTAGCTGAAGAAGAAGAAAAAGCCAAGCATCTAGGAAAGTTGAAGGCCAAGCACGAATCAACAATCGCGGAACTTGAAGAGCGTCTCTTGAAGGACCACCAACAGCGTTCTGAAATGGACCGCAACAAACGTAAGATCGAGACTGAGGTCAATGATTTGAAAGAGCAACTTAATGAGAAGAAAATACAAGTCGAAGAGCTGCAACTGCTCTTGGGCAAACGTGAGGAGGAACTCGCACAGTCAGCGATGAAGATCGATGAAGAAGGCGCAGGTAAAGCTGCTTCACAGAAAGCTCTCCGTGAACTTGAATCACAGCTCGCTGAAATCCAAGAAGATCTAGAGGCAGAGAAAAGCGCTCGTGCCAAAGCTGAAAAACAGAAACGTGACCTAAACGAAGAACTGGAAGCCTTGAAGAATGAACTGCTTGACTCCCTAGATGTCACTGCCGCTCAACAAGAGCTCCGAACTAAACGTGAGCAGGAGCTTGCCTCCCTGAAAAAGACCCTTGAAGAGGAAACCTCAACCCACGAAGTTCAGATCACAGAAATGCGGCACAAGTACAGTCAAGAAATTGCTGTCATCAACGAACAGTTGGAAGCTCTGAAGAAAACAAAACTGAACCTCGAAAAGGCCAAGCAAACACTGGAAGCTGAAAATGCGGATCTTGCCACAGAGCTCAAGTCCTCTGCTCAAGCTCGTGCGGAATCTGAACGTAAGCGCAAGCAAGCTGAAACTGCTCTTAGTGAAATCCAAAGCAAACTTATCGAAGCTGAGCGTTCTAGGACAGAGCTCTCTGAGCGCCTGCAGAAGTTGAACTCAGAATCAGAATCAATAGTGAACCAACTGGAAGAGGCAGAGCTCCGTGCCTCCACTGCCATTAAGAACGCAGGTCTAATGGAGACCCAGCTGGCCGAAGCACAAGTACTCCTAGAGGAAGAAACAAAGCAGAAACTTGCTTTGAGCTCAAGGCTGCGGCAAGTTGAGAGTGAGAAGGAGTCTCTTCAAGAGCAGTTGGAAGAGGAAGAAGAAGCCAAGAAAAACCTGGAAAAGCAAGTCGTAGCATTGAGTTTGCAAGTCAACGAGGCTAAGAAACGAGCTGATGAAGAGGCTGAACAGGTTACGCAATTAGAAGAGATCCGCAAGAAACTGCTCAAGGTATACTTTAATATACTTTTGTTAAGTAAATCCTTTTTGTTGAGTCCTTGTGTTCATGTTGTGCAGATCCTTTATTCTATAGCTGGATTGTTTTTATCTGAAACAAACTACTTAGGAAAACCATCTAGTGAAGGGGTGGAGGCAGGGGGCTTTAGAGGCAATGAGGGATTGCCAACTCTCTGAGAGGCTTTGGAAGGATAGGAGACTTTGGCGGCTAGGTGTCGCAGAACGCCAGAGAGCGCTGTGAAAGAGGCTTTTACGCATGTATGTAACTACTTAAGAAAGGTCAGATTCAATCATACAGAAAACTTACAGGCTCCTAGCTTTTGAAAGGTCTTCTCAAGCAATGATTCAATAATTTTAACTAGATATAAAATTTCTAGGCATTTAGCTTGAACTTGCTTGTTCTATTTAATAGCTAGTTTAATTACTGACAAGATTCATATCGGTTCACCGCGTAGATTTCACCATTTCTTTCTAATATTGACTTTTTCCCTTCCTTTTTTTAGGACATTGAAACTTTCCAAAGGCAGATCGAGGAATTGCAAGCTGCAAATGACAAATTAGACAAATCGAAAAAGAAGATTCAAGCTGAGCTTGAGGATTCAAATATCGACTTGGAAACCCAGCGTGCAAAGGTTTTGGAACTGGAGAAGAAACAGCGAAACTTCGACAAAGTGCTCGCCGAAGAAAAGGTAATTTCATATAAAACTCTTACCCCCAAAATATTTCCTACGCCCAAAAAGCATGGATGGAGGAGCAAGTTGTAGCTTTATGCAGAACTGAAAGTCTCCTAGAGTTACCGTCAGGTTCATCAAATTTGACCGACATTACAATAGACTTCAGCTTGATTAAATTGTGGAAGAATTTTTCATCTAAGTTTTTCAAACTCGATCAAATTTGTATCGAAATCAACTCAAATCAAGCAGATCTCTGTCTTATCATTTACAAAAAAAATTCCTAATTCAATCAAATCTTGAATGGTCAATTAAATGTTTTGAAACTTCTTCAATTTGTTTGAATTTCCATTAAGCTTCATTGAACTTGATTATATTTTTACTAAATCTCATCGTTCGTTAATCTTCAGTCAACTTGAATCAAATTTTCATTCAACCATGCAAACATTCATTGCTTCTGTTTACTCACTGATGCACAGCCAGAACGTCAGGAAGCTCTAGAGGTTAAAAGCAATTTCTAAAATTGAAAGGAAAAATTAAGGTTTCGGTCCCTGAAGAGGGAACTTAATCCTACAACAGTAACTTTTATCTAGGTGCAGATAAATATCCAAGATGTGTCTTTATTTTGATCTTTTACAATAAATTTTTATTCTCTTTTGATCTCCAGGCTGTATCTGAACAATTCGCTGCTGAACGAGATGCTGCAGAACGTGAAGCTAGAGAAAAAGAAACCAAGGTCCTTTCATTGACCCGTGAACTCGATGAATTAATGGAAAAAGTAGAAGAAATGGAACGTGCCAAGCGACAGTTGCAAGCAGAATTAGATGAATTGGTCAATAATCAAGGAACAGCCGATAAGAATGTAAGTTTCTTTTAATTTAAAAGAATTTCAAATGAATTTCTCCCTTAAACTGGAAATAAAAGAAATACTGTTTTGATGCTGGGGTCACTCCAAGTATATAAAGTTGATGGATTTTATTTTTTGACTAATAAGATCAGAAAATTAAGGAATACAAACACTTTGTATAAAATTTAGTTATTTGAGAAAACAAAACAAATGTATAGATTCTTAATGGAGAAAAGGAGGACTTTTATCTTCCCGTAGCGCAATCATCTTTCAACTAAAAGGAGATTTAAATTTTATCACACCGATCAGGTCTTTTTGCCCTCTATATTTTAACCTTTTCTACAAAGAACCTTTTCGTACCTTTTTTTGACCTTTTTGGATAATCAAGAAATTGGTAGGCCTTAATTAATTGAAGTGTTCCTATCAATCCTAGTTGGATACACTGTTTTATTTGCAGGAAAATATCCAACGTGTACTTTTTCATAATCATAAGATTCATGGTTTCTGGGGGCTGGGAAAACCTGGGAAGGCAGGGCATTCATATGAAAAGTCAGGAAATTTGACGAGTAGCTATCGGCTCAGTAATTTCAACTAATTCTCATCAAGAGAGAGCGAACATCTTCCGAGTGTCTTTTTTCGTAAGTTGAATCTTCACAAGTTGAAATTTTTGTTCAAAATGCAGCAAAAGTAGGGAAACGAAAAACAGTTATGTGAAAGTCTTTTCGAAGGTCTGAAAAATCAAGGAAAACGCAGGGACCCAGAGAATGGAGGTATTATAGAAACCCTGTTATAACTTGCAATTGAACTACTTTTTTCATTGGTATTTATCATATCCTTTATCTTGTTCTTGCTCTCAGGCAGAGGTAATTCAAAAGTTTACTCCTATTTCTTTTCATTTTGTAACATAGTTTTGCAGCCTCTTTGCCTCACATTAAAATATTGCGTTGTTCGCCACCGATATTTAATTCTTTCAATTTTCTTAGTGTAGTCTTGTACGCAAATTAGTTCTGTTACAATAAGTCTTACCACCACCGAAACAAGAAGTTTAGCTCCCATCCTTTTACCACAGTATCATCCATTTTTAAAAAGTATTTATTCTTCCTATATTTTGGCAATAGCTTCTGCATTCCCTAATTTATCGACTCATTTTTGTTTTCCTCCTTTGAAAATTTTTTAACATTTAAATTATATAGCTATTGCCACTGAACCCTCTGTTCAGTCGATGAACATATGTAAGCTAGCTTTGCAGTCTCTCATGAGAAGAAATGGCTTGACATTGATTTTTGTATATTATGTCTCTGTTTTTTATTTGATTACATAATGGTTGCAATACCATTGCTGGTGTATTGGTTGTAACTGGCTTCATGATATTAGACGGCAGTTTTTTTTTGTGAAGACAGTTCCTGTGGAGTGTTGAGATTTTCTTACGAAAGGACCGAGACAGCCCATTAAATTGAAATTAATAATCGAGGGCTTCCTTGATGATTAGAATTTTGTGGCTGGAACATTTCAGAAAAATATCAATGCAGCATTTTTTTTAAACTATAATTTGACATGAAATCCTAATTATGATTGTACTTCGAAATATCGCTGGATAAACCTCTTCCACTTTTAAATCCAAAAGAAAAGTGAGGGCAATTCAATTATTTTGATCATTGGTGCCAAAAAAAGCAATGGGTTGAAGTAATCAGTTCAAAATTTGCCATCCTACCTACAAGCAAGTGGTACTATTTAGACACCTTCCCCTTGACCTCTGGAGGGTTTTAGATGATCATCATCTCTGATAGTTTAAGAAAGTTTCCTTGTTTCAGATTTTCAAAAGTTGTAAAGTTTTTTCACCGTTAGTCTCCTTTTGATAATGAATGTTGCGGCTTGATTTTTGCTGAATTTCGTTGTAACTTCAGTCAAGTGCATTGTATATTTTTAAGGAAGCATTCAGTTCAAACATTTTACCGTTTCTTTTTATATTGGTCATTGGTAGTTGTATATTTTTAATTTAAACCTGTGTTCAGCGTTTATTTTTTATTATATCTTTTTTGTCCCACAGGTTCATGAATTAGAGAAAGCCAAACGTGTCCTTGAGTCACAGCTAGCGGAACAAAAAGCTCAAAACGAAGAACTGGAAGACGAACTTCAAATGACAGAAGATGCCAAGCTTAGGTTAGAAGTCAACATGCAGGCTTTGAGAACGCAGTTTGAGCGTGACCTGCAGGTAAGCCATAAGTCCTAATTTTACCCAAATATCTTAGATGTTGACATAATAATAACCATGAAGTATTACTTCCCCCACTTATGAATCCAAAAATTTCTCAAGCTCATGCTGGTGTGCTTGCTTAAGTTTCATTATATATTTAAAATGACATGTGACTAAGACATATTGCTTTATAAGGAGAAAATTGGGTCTAATTTCACCTGAGGGTGTTGCATCCTTCTCAAACTGGATTATTTTGATTGTCTTTTCAATATTGTCCTCTCTTATTTTAGACGAAGGAAGAACAAGCTGAGGAGAAGAGGCGAGGTCTTCTCAAGCAGCTTCGTGACCTAGAGGCCGAGCTGGAAGAAGAACGTATGCAACGTGCTGCTGCTCTTGCCTCGCGCAAGAAGTTAGAAGCCGACTACAAGGATCTAGAACATCAACTTGAGATGCACAACAAACTCAAGGAAGACGCCTTGAAACAGCTGAAGAAATTGCAGGCTCAATTGAAGGATATTTCTCGGGACGCCGAGGAAGCACGTGCCTCTCGTGATGAATTAGCCGCCAGTGTGAAGGAGACGGAGCGTAGAATGAAGAGCTTGGAAGCTGAGCTCATGCAGATGGGTGAGGATCTGGCCACCTCTGAAAAGCAGCGTCGTGCAGCTGAAAGTGAGCGTGATGACCTACAAGAGGAAATTAATAGTAATGCTAACAAAGGGTAAGTAACATGATCTCCAAAAAAAAAATTGCCAAGAGAGTCCTTTTTCTCAGTTATTTCAGAGAGAGAATTTACTGATAGGCACTTTTATATATTTTTGTAACACGTTAGTCAAAGTTTATGAACCAAAGTGGAGTTCTCTCTGTGTCGATATTTCTCATCAAACTTTTTACACAAAGAAAAATCTGTTTCATTATCTGTTATACAGCCAAGTTTTTCACTTTTCTTATCCCAAACTGCTTATATAATGTTGCTACGGAAGCAATATCATAAGTATTCGTATCATCCCTAAAGGGATAACTGAGAGAAAGAAAAATGGAATTAAATACTTAGGAAGAAAATTACATACTTATATTAATGTTAAATTTTCTCAGTGCATACTTCTTTGTTTGTGAGCCTTTTCATGTAGCCCTATGAAGGTGTAATGAGTTTTTTTATTTTATACTGGTCCAACAATTAATTTTTTTGTGCATTTTTTCAGAACCTTACTTATTGATGAGAAGCGTCGTCTTGAAGCTCGCATCTCTGCTTTAGAAGAAGAATTAGAGGAGGAACAGAGCAACTCTGAAATCCTAATGGACAGAGCCCGCAAATCTCAAATTTCAATAGAGCAACTTACAACTGGTGAGTTTAGTTGAAATCCATCCTAAGTTTTCAGAATTTTACGAATTTTAAGTTCTCTTGCAGGATAATTAGCAGTAACAGAAATGTGCAAATATTTGTCAAGTATCAAGAATCATGTCTCATTTTTATGAATGTAAGATGGCAAGTCATTCTATTTGTTTTAATTTGGCATCATCATAAATGAATTATATGATATGTGTTTATATGGAAACCAAGTTGGTTAAAAAAAAAATCTCTGTTTTGTCCTCATAAGAAAGAAGTGAATCAGAGAGAGTATTCAATCAAAATTTTCTTTCTTTATTCACTCCCCATCATTGCTTTAATCAAGAAAATTAGGAGAGAATCTCGAGTAAAAATTATTATGGTTAGTCGCTGAGCAAAAAAAATGTTTGTCCATTTCACTCATCACCTCATAGCTCTAAGCACAGTATTGGTTGCTCTTTTCAGATTTGGCTAGTGAGAGATCAACCACTCAAAAATTGGAATCGAATAGAATGCTCCTAGAAAGGCAAAACAAGGAATTGAAAACGAAACTATCAGAATTAGAAACAAATCAACGCACGAAAACAAAAGCAACAATCCAAGCGCTGGAATCGAAGATCGCCACATTGGAAGAACAGTTCGAAGTTGAAGCTAAGGAAAGACTCGCACACCAGAAGGCCAACCGCAAATTAGACAAGAAATTGAAGGAAGTTTTAATGCAATTAGAGGACGAAAGGAGACATGCAGATCAATACAAGGAACAAGTAGAAAAGGTGAGTCATCGAGCGATGATTCTGAATCATAAAAAGAAGTTAAAAACATTGCTCTAGAAAACATCCATACAAATCAAGCCACTGTGCTAAAGTCATAGGTTCATCTTTTCTGCCTCATTACCCTTTCAATGTGATTAAGTACTGAATTATTGTGTTTTTTTCTTCAGTTTTAACGAAAGTTATTATTTTATATGTTCATCGCCAGCTTTATGATTGCTGTTGTCCAGTGGGACTTTTGCCCTTGTTGGGTGTAAATCTTGCTCATTTAGAAACAATGTAAAGAACTGAACGTAGGATCATCTTCCTTATCATCAATAGTTTTGTTATTTTATCTCATTATTTCGTTTTCGTCAGTTCGTTTTCTCTTTTACAATTATTATTTAGCAAAAAGGATGGCATATTTAATATGACTAACTAGATTACAGTACTACCAATTACTAATATAATAGATTTTTGCATATATTTAAAGAACTATCCTGATGGAGAAAAATTGTATAATAGTTGGGTACCAAAATGGAAAAAATTAGATAAAGAGTCTTCTTTTTAAATATTTTTCTTCTTTTTGTTTTCAAAAGCGTAGTCATTTGCAACAATCACAGACCCAATCATAATTTGTGTGTGGATCTGGTTATTTGACTTGCCTTTCTTTTTTCATTTTAACTTGCCGATAATTAGTGGTCGATTGCTGTATATTTTATGGCATGATATCCTAGAAAATAAAGTGTGTAACCAGATGCCGAACGATATTTCTCCAGCACTTTTCTCATTTGTTCAATTTTCATTTTCAGGTTAATACAAGAGTGAAAACTCTGAAGAGACAATTAGATGAAGCTGAGGAAGAAATCAGCAGAGAAAAGACGCAGAAACGTAAAGCGCAGCGAGAGCTGGAGGACATGCTCGAGTCTTATGAGGCTATGACAAGAGAAAATAATAATCTGAAAAACAAAATCAGGTAAGTCAAAGGATACCAAGCAAAGGTCACTCCTAAGAATATTGCAAGGCTAGGTTGGGTGAGCATATATCAATATTAAGCAACAATATCCTTATTTCCATTGTTAGAATCATCATGTTTAAACATAATTTGTCCGAATTCCTGCCATGTTGAATTTTTTTTTTTTTTCATTTATATCTCCATGTAGATTAAATTTTATTTTGAAAATATCTATGAGCTGAAATCAAAAGAAACTTAATGACAGCCTCAGGAGACAATGAGAAACTGGACAAATTAGATTGATGGGAGCAGGTGGTGGACAAAGGAGTCAATTGATAGACGGATTTATCTAACGGCAGACAATGTGAGACCCCTTTGTTAATCCATCATTTTGCCCCTTAGTCTGTAACAACCACCCGTTCCACTCAATAGGAACGCTCCTTTTCTTCTTTATTTATTGCTTTTTTTTCATCGATTCAATAAAGCAATGTAGGAGAAAGATTCAGCAAAAGCTCAAAATTCTCAGATTTATAAGCTTTCTCCAAGCCTCTTAAAACCTGTCACACATAGAAATCACTCTGGTGTCCTAATGTATTTGGTGATGTGCAGTTGCATTCATTGTATAATTAAATAGTAATGCTTATTTGGATTTAAAATACTAGTAAGAAGTTTTCATGCAGTAGAAAGACAGTATTAGCATTGCCTCAATTGCTAATGAGGATTCGTATTTGAACCAAAACTGAACACAGCTTGATCTAAAGTATGATCTAAATTAACCTTTGACAAAAAAAAAGTTACCCTATATTTGTTCAATGATTATTTTTGTTATAGTTAAAATGTTCTTGCAGCCATAACAATGGCAGAACCAAGAATGCGAGGTTATACTTTTGAATATCAGTGAGCCCACAATATTCAATCAGCATTTTATGAATATTTTTCAAATATCTGGTGCTTAATTTTCTTCTCTCACTTCAGGCGCGGAGCAACAGGAATTGGTCTCAGCTCAACGCGATTGGGTAGTGCCAAACGAGGCTCTGCAGCATCAGATGATTCCGTCATCAACGACGAAACGCTGGATGTGAGTGATGTGAAACCTGAACCTGCCCAAACAGGTAAATAATTATCAGATTTTAGCTCCTTTTCAAAATTTTGTGTGGTTTTGTGGCCAGACTTTCTTCGTTCTGTGTTCGTCTCTGTGTCCTCTTTGTTTTACCTTCCCTCGGCCTTGGTTTTTTCACCTTCATTATTCTTGCCAGTTTTGCAAGGCACTCAAAATTCCGTTTTGAATCTTTACATGTGAAAAATTTTTTTAGTTCTTTCTGTGACATAGTCACCTTTTTTTTATCATCATAGTAATTTCACTGTCGTTACTTGTAAAAGAACTTTTCAGTAGCTTGCTTTGTTACGTTTAGCGAGTGGCTGATCATCTGTCTGTTGTGCACAGCTTTGAAACATTTTTTTAAGCTTTAAAAATGTCTGGTCTCTGCTGTGAGGAAGTACTTTCTCATTTGCTTGCTTTGAATTTTTCATCTGGGAAGCCACATTTTAATTGGAAGCTGCGTTATTGAACAAGTTCAGTAGGTAAACTAGTATTTTGAACAAATAGAAAAAGTTGACAATATCTGGAACATACATTTTTTTCATGAAATGAAGTTCCAAAATCCAATTGTTCAAACAATTTTTTGGGTCGTTAAGCACACATCTTTCCCTTTTCCAAGAGCTGCTGAATGTGTTCATTGGAATGTGATTTTTTTCTATCATATATGCTAGTCCCTTAATACACTTTAAAAATTGGGGTACCAATAACTAGGTAAAAATACATACTCAAAAGTGATCAGAGCCTTGTCAGTGTCATCTTTCCGTTGTTTTATCTAAATTAGCTGAGCAGTAGATCCGTAGGAAGCAGTGATGTGCATAACATTTCAATTACGAAAATAAAGGCATTTAAGAGAGAACTAAAAATATGAATTATATTTAATCCAATTCATATCAGACCCTCATTCTCTCGGAGATAAAAGTAAAGCTTTGTTTTTTCTAAACAACCTCAGATCAGACTTAAGTGAAATCGAACTACGGTTAAGACAAAATCCTGCGAAAGTCAAAAATTCTTTATTGACGGCCATAAAGAGCAATATGTATATAAAATCAATGATTAAGACAAAGTCATCACTTTTGTCATGGAGGAAAACCTGTTTCAGTTCAAGAAAATTTTTTGGAAAACCCGACAAACATTCAATTTTATACCTGAAAAATCAAGGGAAAGGAACGATTTTAAATGAAACCTATATTTAAAAAAAAAAAGATTTATGATGAATCACCTGTATTGTTAAAGGAAGTTTTAAAGTAAGAGCTTCAAAAGCTGTGACTTTTTGATATCCTTTGATGATTTGTTGATGTCGATGCTACTTCACATGTTCAATTTAAAAAATTTTGTTCAATCAAATTTGATCAACAGATTTAACTTGAGAATTGTAAAACATGAATAACTTGGAGATTGAAGACTTAAAGTTGGAGGATTTTTAAATTGAGCATTAAAATCTGAAAAAAAGTAAAGTAGTGAGATAAAACAAGAGGTTAAAAGGGATGAAGCGAATGAAATGAAATGCCACTCAAGCAGAAATTTCCTTCAGTCTCTACATAATTCGACTGAACGAGATTTTACTGCGTCCTCGTAATCTTAGAACAGTATTTTGAGCAAGGAGTCAATTTGGAATTTTTCTAAGGGATCTGCCGTGTAAGCACCTAGAAAAAGTGCCTTAACTAATTCTCAAGTTTTCTTGTAATTATGTAATATTTGTATAAAACTCGTAACTTAATGAAGTAACAGCTGTATAAAGCCATCATATTTTTTTTTTTAGGCAAAACGTTTGTGGAAAAGTTATAAACAACACAAATTTTGAGTGTCAGTCTCTCTAATCATTTATTTTTTTTTTTACAATATAATCTTTCATGGTAACTAACTTTCAGCACTAAGAAATTTTGCAGGTCTACGAGTTTATACCTAGTATGAGGGCTTAAAGAACAATCAGTTGTAAATAGAGATTTCTTCTCTTTAATTCTGAGTCTCAAATTTTGCATAACCTAAAGAAAATGTAACTAGATCGCTCTGTGAGTATGTAAACGTAATCCTGAAAAGATATCTTATATTCCAGGGGAAAATTTTCCTTAACTTTTCGCAAATGCATAATGAATGAAAAGGTGGAAACTTCAGCTAGAGTTTGATCCTGCAAGTTTGATTTTGAGAATTGTAAGAGAAATTGAAATTGAAAGAGATAAGAGTCCTGAACTCCTGAAGCTCCAAGGCAAAAAACTATTAGGTTGTAGAAAAACGCGGTTTAAGCTTTTGTAAAAAGATACTGAAAATTTTCTTCCGGATTATAAGGTCCCTTTTCATTGATCCGGTCACAAATACAATTTCGAAAAGCCACTTAAGTATCATTCTGTTCTTTCTGGCGTATACTTTTTTTTTATTTTTTTATCCATTCATTTTCTCAAGTTGTGAGCATGACAGTCTGTTTTCCAAAAAGTATTCTTTTTAAAGCGCTTTTGGGTTTATCTCTTCCGAGATAGCAGCACTCATTTCTTGAGTAATATATGTCTGCGGTTTGAAAAATAGGGAACACTACCTTGATACCTACTTTCTTATTATACCCTCTAATGAACCAATCTATGGTTCTCAAGTAAGTTTTACTTTCTCTCGCATTCATTAATTTGGCGTTTCCGCACTGTTCAATTTGGCTCACAGGCAACGAGGAAATGTGGGCACGCTGAGTCACTCAAAATTTTTATGGTAAGACTCATCGAGACAATTTAAACGCCTAACTCACTTCAATTTCTTGTCAAATATTTGCCATTATTTTTCATTGCAATCTTTCTTTATGCTATAACTATAAAAATCGCCAGCCGTTGTAAATACTGAATGTCAGAGCTCTCTTCCAACTTATTTACAGCATGAATACTCAATTGCTTTCAATTTTATTGCTTTATTTTACTTAATGTATTGCACCTTGCACATTTGCTGACTTAATCCTAATAAACATTTCCATCATTACCATTTGAGGAGGATAGCAACCCAAAATAAATTTCAATATTGTATCGGAAATTGATGGTCAATACAGTGGGTAGACTTATCTCAAAAATCCTAAGAGAAAATCATGTTTGAGTTTCAAATTAGTTTGAGTCATTTTTGGGTTGCTGGTCTTGCCAACAAGTGTGCTTGTCTTGCTGTGTAATCCTTTGGGTTTAGTTCTCATTTTCTTTGATTTAATTCCTTACTCTTCTTTTTGTAAAATCTTTAAACGTAGATCAGTGTATAAACCTATAGCTGGTTGAGACTCTCTTTATTGTTCATCATTGAATTATGATTCTCATTATAGTTTTTTCTTATGTCTTCTCTTAAAATCATCAGTTGGGGGGAAAATATTGTATTTGTAAATTTTCTAGGGAAAGAAACAAAATAAGATATATTGTCGAAAACTGCTCTCAATGTATCACCTAAAATCATATTTATTCTCATATTATTTGGATATATTTTTCATGAATTAGCCTACTGCATTTCTTGTTGCCTAATTTTCTTTCATGTTTCATTTGTTTAACAGGGAATTAAGACTTAAAACACCCTTAAACTCTTTATACAACCCTAGATTATTAAAACGTATGCTCAAAATTTCAAGTCTCAAGTGTTTTTTAATTTTCTGTTTTAAAAAAGAAAAAACTGCAGAGAAACTTAAGCAATGTCTGATGCAGTTAGGATGATTCTGGCTAAACATTCCTCAGCCAATGAGTAAATTAGGGAAGTAAAAAGAAAAGAAAAAAAAATTAATAACAATTACTAACACAAGTCAGTTTAATGCATTATTATGTTCCGGTGAATGTTAGTAATGAGCTCACATCACTAGAATTTCTAATTTGGTCAGGAGCTCAGTTTTTCAGGTCTGTCTTCTGAATAGAGCCAGCAGCTTGAGTGGTGAAATTTTGTGTTTTCTTTGTAGACTAGACAAGACTGAGGTGAAATGGAGCCATATGATAGGTCGTCTATGTCGTTTGGGCAACTGAAGTAGCTGTTTATTGGGCCAAGTAATCAGCTGGTTATCAGCCAGGAAGGAGTTGCCTTTAGCTAGTTGATCATTTAGCCTGATGAGCAGCTTCTCCCGTCACTCAAAAATACAGCCGACTAATCATACAGGTCCATTTCACATCAGTCTTGGCTTTTCTACCAGGAAAACACAAGGATTTCAACTATCAGGCTGCAGGTAGACCTTCAGGTAACACACAGCACACATTGGAGACTAATTTCAGTTCAGGAAAGCATGAAGTAAATTTGACACAAGTGCTTGTCTTCTTTCCTCAAAACACTTTTCTCCTAATTTTTACTAATCAATTATGAAATTAAAGGAAATGATATGCGATAATGTGGTGGATGATTGACATATTTTCTCAATGGGAAATAACACTGTTAAAATTAGACTCAAACAATTGATGTTTGGACAGATCAAACAACCTCCTCTGTTTTACAATATCAAATCATGTAAACATGATTCTCAACTGGTGCGTTGTATTTGTCGGTACTAATCACATTTGAAAGATTTCTAAGATACTGAGTGATTAATCCTTGATGTGCTAATTTATGTTATTTCTTCTCTGATCCAGCAGGAAACTGAGCAAGCTCTGAACTCGTGTACATAACATTCAGTCAAGGAAAGCAATCGCAAACTGCAAACTCTCGTACTTAATCTTGGAATTACCTCGTGATTCAAGAATCGGCAAAGCAAACCTGCAGGTTGCATCCTGTATTCTGCGTTGTTGAATCTAGTTGTCTTGTTTTAACATTTTTTTGTATATTTTTTTAAAGTCTATCCTGCACCCTGTATTCGAACTTTTCATATCAGAGGCTTGAGTCTATTGTCACGCAGTATCTTTGTATGTCGGATGTCTTTACAAATTCTCTGCTGTCAATAAATTTCTGTATAAAAAGAAAAAATTTTAGTGATGAATGTATTATTTATTCCATTTTTAGGTTATTTAATCTTGTAGATAGGGAATAAATTAATTTAGTTTAATTTGAAAAAAAAATTGAGCTGATTAAATACAATCAAAGTTGAAGTTTCAACAAACTCAAAAGTCAGTGAATTATTATCATTATTAAATGTTGTCTTGAGGTATCCCGTATTTCTTGCCGTGAAATGAAGGGAACAATCTGATTGTTCTCTCCCCTTGATTTCCCCTATACTGGAATGAGGGGAAATTACTTAATGCTCGTTTGCAAGAATCAATGTTCCATTTAATAATGAACTTGTGTTTTCTTCTTTCTCAACTTTCATATTTTTGTACTTTTCTAAATTTATTTTCAATTTTCATGTGAATCATTGTTATCTTTTTTTCTCTCTCTTTTTTTATTTCCATTTATTTATTTATTTTTTTTATCGTAAAGAGAATCAACTCTATTTTTTTAAAATTTAATTTAATTAATGTTAAGTTTTGTTTTATATATTTAGTAACATTCCTCGACTAGGTTGGCTGCATTTAGACTTTTTTAACATTTTTACTCCTTATTTTTGTAAACCGTTATTTTACTACTCCTCGGGTCCTCCATTTGATCGTTTTTGATCGATTTATTCATTGAGTTGTTAATATCATAACTTGCAAAGAAAAATATTGCATTGGAATTTGTTCACATCTCTCGTAATGTTTAGAAACTGTACGTACAAGCGCATTTAAGCATAAGTCTCCTAACAAAAATTACACAAAAGTTATGTTTAAATACACTTGTATATTAATTTTCTAAATTCATTGAAGCTGACACTTTGAAACCCCCGTTACATCGAGTCCCTATTAATTTTGTGTCTTGAGTCATAAGGAATGACTTGTTATAAAACTGAAAATTAATATTTTTGCGTAAAGAATTTGGATGACAACAGCACATGTAACGCTAGAGGTATCAATCTGTAGCTTCGTTGAAAAATGAAACAGAGTAGGTAAATTCCTTCTCGTATTATGTTTCTGAAATTTCGAAAGTTAATCATGAGCGAGCTTGTTTTCGAAGTTTTGTCATTTTGATGTTTAAATGTATTAGCAAAGGTCTATCCCTGACAAAAGAGAAATTACCTCAATTGTACCTTTTCTCGGCTTTATCAAATACCACAACTTTCGCCTAATAATTTTCAGAACAAGTGTGCTCAAGGATATTTGCTCAAAATTTTAGAATTCTGGTGCAAACTAAGACTATAACTAAAGCTTTGTAAAATTATCAATAACTTAGTTTTAATTGGCGAGACAGAACAGCCGAAAATTGTCCCTCCATTATTTGTTAAGCGTGCTTCTGCATGAACTACAATTGCAGGGCATCGCTCTAAGATGTTAGTCTTTCATCGAAATGAATCAAAAGTATTTATGTTTCAAATCCTGTGGTATCTATATTCTACTCTATTCCACTGACACTATTTTCCTCTAGATAAAGTTCTGTATCTCTGGGTCTTTGGTTTTGCTAATTTAAGTATCAAAATCGTGATTACCGAGTGTTTAAAAGCAAAAGTATCCACAAATGATAATGTGTCTTTTGCAGTTTGAATCACATTCAATAAGGACTGTTTTCTTCACCTGTGTAGCCGGTTTATCAGGATAAAGATTTCGCAACAGTGAAAATTTTCACATTTTAGAATCATGAGTTGTCATTGTTTTTTACTGGTGATGTGACAATGATAATTAATATATTCAATTGTAAATATTTTATTTTTTTATTTGTCCTCTAAGCATTTTTTTTTATTTTTTTTTCTAATTTATTCTTTCAAACTTGCTCAGTTATCGACGAAAACCTCATGAAAAGTGCTTTAGAGTTAATCAAGTACATAACTAATTGTATTTGTTTGGTTGTAGTTTCTCACTCTTCTTGCAAAAGCAGCAATTCTTTGTTGGTTTTTTCTTCAGCTGACTTTAACCTATTGTCAACCCTGTAAATCCATCAACGTCTTGCTACGATCTTTGAAAGTTCATCTCTTGATAAAAAAATAATACACTTAAAATCAGAATGCATTATGTAATTCGTCTCAGTTTTATCCATTACTCTCGTGTCGTAAAATTCGTGGTTCTGAAAGATTTTCCCAGAAAAACATGAGATAGATTTGATCCAATTATATTCCAAATTCTTTCTATTTCAATTTGTAACCACTAGTGTCATAAAGTTTATTAACCATGCCTTGTTAATACTATTTTATTACTATGATCATTATTTACTATTATTTTTTTATCATTATGATTATTATTACGATTACGATAATTATTTTAACACCATTATTGTTAATTTTTATTTATATTTAAAGAATAAATTTTTTAAAAAAAATAAAATAATCTGAAAAACTGTGAATCCTGTTAGTTATTGTTTTATCCTCCCTTATGGCATTTGGCATTGGAATGTGTCATTGAGTCCAACTGATTTTGCATGTTTTTTGTTTACCGAAAATTTTAGGCAGAATACTTTAAATTTTTAATCAATGAATTCATAGATAGCAGTACAGTCGACCCTAGGTTATCCGCCGATCTGTGGTGGAGACCCACATTAGATACTGCCAGATGGTTGAAAATCCTGAGAATATGTTAGAAATAATGAAAAAAACCGTTGAAATTGACCTCAGGATCTGAGAATGTCCTTAAAAATGACCTTCAAATAAATGAGGTGCAGGATAATCGAGTGCTGGATAGTGGCTGAAAGTGGCATTTTCTGTGGCAGTCTCTCTTCCGGCTTCCTGTTAACATGACTGTACCAGACAAGCTGACCAAAACATGTGATGAGAAAGAAAAAAAGGGTAATCTTGCATAAGGAATACGACCTAAAAACCTGCATATCGCAGACCAAAGTAAACAACGTGAAACTTCCACAAACCTGGCCCTTGTTAAATATGGTTTTAGCCCTCTAATATTTCTTCAATTGCACATGGCTGAAAATGGGAATGAGGAAGCTCTTGGTACATCCATATTTAAACTAGGAATGTCAGGGAGGGAACTTGTTACTGAGGAAGGCATGGACACTCTTGCAAGATTTTGATATCATCCTACGTCCTAATTTCCCCAAGTGTACATCCCAGTCCAGTCAGTCACAACAGTTGGAATGGATAGGAAAGATTTTACTTTTTTGCATTCATTGCAATTTTCCTTCAATTTGAGACTTTTTCGGTAAAAAGGCTTGCAATGCTGCTGAGATTGCACAATGATTTTTCATTGCGTTTGCGGCAGATGAAACTCATTCACAGTCGACTTACTTCCTTACAATAGTGACTAGCACTTGAGGCATATTCAGGGAAAAATTAATCGCGGAACTGTCGGATGAGATATCTCCAACTAGAGAACTACGTTGTACAATCTTAGCAGCAAGTCTCATACGTTCTTTTACCGAAAAATTCCTCAGTTTCGGGGGATAGTTCCCCCTCCCAAATTTATGCATAAATTAGTGTGTAAGTACGAAAAATGAGTAATTAGCCACCCATTTGGAAGTAGAATACCCTACAGATTTGGAGCCCAGAATCGAAAATGACATACACTTATTTACCCAACTAACCGAAACAATACCTTCTGTAATTACGAATTAATATCAGTCGAGCAAAACATGTGACGAAATAGCGGAACTTGTTTCAGGAATAAACAGGAATTTTGAGAAAATGGACTGCGTCAATGGACAAAAGTTGTAAACAAAGTAGTACAACTAATGGATGTACACGATCATTTTAAGCATTTGATGTCATCAGGCGCTTTGAGAAGGATGTGCACGACACGTTCATCGGTATCAGATAGATGAAAATGGCGATTGCTGTTTGATGAAAGGGAAAAATCAAATCAGCGTTGCTACAGGCACACTTACAGCTACACAATATTCATCGTCAAAGCCATGTAAGAAAATTAATTCTGGATTTATCAACCCCCCCCCCCTTCCCCCCATCTTTCAAAGGTTGTAACACTTACATTGGAGATGAAAAGGAACTGTTTTTCCCTGCGTATATTTCGGACAAAAAACTAGTAGATTAATCGTGCCATTTTATTCAGAATCGTAAACTGACTAAAAATCTCATTAAAAAAACTGCCTAATTTGAATGGAAGCGCCAATCTAAACTTTGGCGCTCTTCGCATCGCAGTTTCATCAATTTCATTGGCTAATTCACGTTGGATGAGAACAACCAATAGAATGTTGTAAATTGGTCATTTTCAGTTTGTTCTTAACCGCAGAGCAAAAACTCACTTGTTGGTGCTCCAGCGTTTTTTTGTATTTTGATAAAATTACATTATTTACAGCATAAGATTTTTGAAAATATATATTATATCTTAGTATTCCCACGTCCCGGAGATCGTTTAAAAGTGAAAAGTTAACTCAAAAAAACAGGAAATTTTATCATTAAGAGTTTTGCTTGCAGCAAACTTGCACCCACCTGTTCAAAAGTTTGTTTACAAAATACTAACCTTGCATAACAAATGCTGACCGCAAGTTCAACGTCTTACTTCTAATTATCAATTTTCACTGACTTCAATCTTCTGTCTCTCTATTCTTATCTTATCTATCGTTCTGTCATGGGCTTTGATGTTCTGAAAATCTCAATTCATTCGATACCATTTTGCACGGCTCCTAAATTAACTGTTTACTTTCAACATCGTTCCTTCTCTAAGTGCTTAAACTATCCTGTCAACCGAATTGAATCTATCTCAAACGCGAGTATAACAAAAGCCACTGATTTATCTCTCCCACCTGGATATATTTAATACTTTCCACTGAAGGCCGCAGGTGAGCATTTCATGTTCATTAGCCTTGTTAGTACTAAATTCACAGGACATTTACTGAAGCAGCTTAATGTTCGGATTTGCTCTTTTTCTCGCATTTAAATTTCAATGCTATTTAGAGGATAACATCAATATTTTGGTATCCGCTAATACGCATACACATCTTTTTCCGAGTCTGTGTGATGTTGCAGGGCTGATTGAGGGGCTTGAAGGACAAGGCGCTCAAGTGCAGTTTTTGTTATTTCAGGAAATACGTACCTATTTGAAGTTTTGAAATTACATGGATCCCCATGGCGGGAAAAAAGTTCTAACTGACTTTTAAAATATGCATAAAAATTGGAATTTGGGAGTGAATTTCTCACAAATTATGCATTAAGACTAGTTTTATTGGAAATCACTGATATCTCAATTTTTTCGGAAACTGCATTTAAATGCGCCTTGTCCTCTAAGCCCTTTAATTAGGTACAGACAGGGCCGGATTTACGGGAGGTCAACAGGGGCGAGTGTCCCCGGCGGTAAATTTTAAGGGGCGGCAAAATTCGAGAGGGGTTTTTTTTATAAAAATTCTTTTTCGAGGGCGGCAAAAAAAAAATTTACAGCATTTCTATCAAAATCGGGCGGCGTTTTTGCCCGTTGCCCCGGGGGGCCAATTTGTAAATCCGGCCCTGGGTACAGATTTTTCACTCTGCTCATTGTTTATGATTTGTTCAGGCCTGATTTCTGTAGGCTTACAATTGGCCGCAAATAGAGTGAATGTTACCGAGAAGCGACAGGATGAAGTTAATGAGATATATCGCAAACCAGTTCGATCACCTAGAAACCGTGACAAATCACCTTAAGAACCAGCAGAAGATGCACAATTAGTTTTATTTATGCTGGAAGGAACTCCCTATGTTACATGCAAACCCCTTGCACATGGTGTCTTTTAGCATAAATGTGCCCAATTGATTCAGGAAACCTGAAAGTCTGCTTGCACATGATGTTCACATGAGTCGCAATGTACAAGTCATCCTATGATTTCCTGGTTTAAAATTACAAAATTAATGCAAAAAATTACAAGGATTCATCTGGCAGTCATTTAATTGCTTGATATTTTTTATCTTATCACGATTGAATTTCTCACTCCACTTTTGTAAATTTCTTGCAGAGGATGATAAACAAACGACAGCTTTTTCTTTGTAAATAGAACCACTATCCAAGAGGCAATGAACAAGCTGCTAAGATTGCAGGGTAAGCTTTTTTCTTGATAAAGCGTTAAGTAGCTTCTTAGAACTCTAGTTTCACTATAAGCTTTTCAAAAGTTTTCTTGTGCAGTTTTGTTGTTAGGCAAGATGTTTCTACGGATCTGGTTGTTTCCTTGAAAATAACCACCTAGTGCGACTAACACACACACTCAAAAAAAAAAAGAGGGTCAAAAGCTCATACGGCGTTCAGTCTTAGCACAGAGTTGAGGCTGATAGAATGTGAGTGCTAACTTCCTACATTTCTTCTGCCGCACAATTTTACCGGCTGTGAGAGTTTCAACTTTCATAGCAACGTCATTTTTGTCACGATTCACGCGTATTTCGAATTTTTGAATTTTTTTAGATTTTATCACTTGAAAGTAAGTACTGATTTTTTTTTTGGGTGGGGGACATCTGAAAAAGTACCGTAAAAGTACTGATTTTTTGTCAGTCCGACACCCTGACTATACTCTTATTTCCTTTTATTCTTTTTTGTTTTTTTTTCATTTACCTCTCTTCTTTTTATTCTATTTTTCTTCTCTTTGTTTTTTCCTTTTTTCCTAGTTTTCCTGTTTTTCCTCCTTCTAATTTTTATTCTCGATTTTCATGATTTAAATTTCGCCAATTGAGTTGTGTCGCGGGACACCCCCCCCCCCCCTGGCAACTCGTCTTAAGCACACTTCTAATTCATTGGGACTTTTTCTTGAGTGTTCTCTACACCCAAGAGCAACTTAAAACACAAAATTGTGTATCCCGATTTCCCTCGCTATTTTTACTATCACGCATCTGAACGGTATCAAAAGCCCCTCTCCCCCTTCTCGGGGGGCGTGGCGACGGGAGAAGCGTCGACTTCGAATGCGCGCGTCCGCCGCTGTTGAGGCGCTGAAATTCAGTTGTTATTCGTCTCTCGTAAATTCGTTAACCTGTGTTTGGTCTGCTCGTGTTCAATGAGACTTGGCTTTGCTTCAAAATCCACCGAGTTCAGTCCCGTGGGTTCGTTGTCCTGTGAGTAATCCCTCAAAATTCATTTCACTCTTTACTATTCCATCTCATCATTGATGTTTATCCACGATTATGATTTTTTCAAAATCTTGATTAGATAGAACGTAGAGCTACCTCTAAAGGAGCATCTTCTCCCCAAACAAAATCCGGGTGTAAATTATTATCTCAATATCAACGTAGGTTGTCTCATGCGTAATGCATTGAAGCTAAATTGTCGAAAATAATTTTGTTTAAAAATTCACAAGAATTCTATTTGATTTACAGACTTTTTTATGCCTCTAACATCTAAAAGTTTTTTTTTAGTTGATTTAAGCTTTTTTCAATTAAAATAAATGTAACTTTGTCATCGATGACATTTCTCCGATAGGTGGTCCTCGTGGTGAAAGATTTTTGGCCTAACTAGGAAATTGAAGGCGAAATATCAACGTGCGCAACCTGCACAGCTCCCATTCATTTCAATTATTTTGCCTTTTGTAAATGAGGCGCTTGGAGGAAAAGGCGCACAAGTGCAGTTTTTGAAAAAATTGATGTATTAATGATTTCAAGTAAAACTAGTCGTAATAACTAGTAAAAATTCACTCTCAAATTCCAATTTTTAAGGACCTAAAAGTTAGTTCGAACTTTCTCTCCGCCATAGGGATCCATGTAATTTCAAAACTTCAAACACGTATTTCTCGAAGTAGAAAAACTGCATTTATGCGCCTTGTCCCCTCAGTCCTAAAATGTGAAGTAGAAAATTTCGAAAATAATGATTTAGAAATTGCTTTTCTTTACCAAAAATTCGGTTCTTGTAATCGAATTTCTTTCATCTCTTCATTTAACCTCGTAAGTTCGTAATTCGAACCGAACGCTGAGTCCGACGAACCGAATAGCCGGGACGCTACAGAACATTAACATAATGTTCTCCTTCAATTTGTGGTCATGCAATATTACCTACCTGGAGGTCGAAATAGTTGTATCGCGCGTTTCGCCCCCTCCAATTTTTTTACTTTGCGTTAAAGTCTCGAAGTCAGCGGGAAAGAGACCAAGCTCCTTTTCACTATCGTCGATATGCGAGAAAGTTTTATTACTTCATAATTGTGACCGGATCTGTGAAAAGGGACCTTATTTTTCCTAGGAAATTTTCCGTAACTTTGAACTCTCCGCGAAAAACGATTGTGGAAAGCGCCTGCATAACTGGAGGAATACTTCAAGCACTGCACCGTTTCCCCGAGCCCGCCTCGATTGAATTATTTTTCCGTTCAAAAGAAATCGGGTTGCAGACGATGTGGCTTCCATCTGCATATTTTACTCCAAATTGTCTAGGAGTCTGTAAATCTGGGATAAGAAATGCTTCCGTAAACTAATCAGTAGACACAATTTGAGAAATATAGCTTTTTTCAAAAACGGAGGGAGGACAGAACGGAAATCGAGGGGGCCTCATTTTTTCAGGCGCAATTCGAACTCAATTAATGCTAGGAGACGTTAAGAAACTACCACTTTTATACCACAGTTCATTTTGTTCGTATTTTAGGGCTCTTACCGCTCATTGGAACGATGATTTATTGAACAAAATAAATCATTTATGGATCTTTGAAGGAGGGACTTTATTTTTGGGGAAGTTCTGGGAAGGTTTTGTAACGCATTGACGCAACGTAAGTGAAGTGTTACCGATTTCGGTCAAAAGTGGCACTACGCGGATTGTGCTAAACCAGGATGTTCAACGTTACTTGCAGGTTTCACTACATTTAGACCGATTTAAACAAAATCAGCCTACACGTAGACTGGTTTAAACGAAATCAGCCTAACTGCATTTCCTGTTACTTAGGTAATTTTCTCTCATGTTCTTTTTTTCTCCAGGAAATCAAACTATCTAACGCCTTTGACATTTCTGTGAATTTACCTAGATTATGGAGAATATTCTCACACATTCAAGTTTTAGTTTGCTTAATGTCTTCAGGGCCGGATTAAGGGGGTGGCCACATGGGCCGCGGCCCATGGCGGCAAATCTAAGGGGCGGCAAAAATTTGCAATTTCTTGAAGTGTAGGTATAAAAAAAATCGAATTTATAAAAACAAAATTACAAACGAGAAAAGGCGACAAAATCTCTCATTTCCTGAGAGTATAGTAATTTCTAATTTTGTCGTCTCTTAGTGATACAAGAGACAGCACCTTCAATAAGTCGAGTTAAGAGAGAGACCAAACACGCAATTTGGCCTGATACGGTGCGACTTAGAGAGAAATGATAATGAGGACTAGAGATGAAAAGGAGAAGCCTTCGGCGCGGCGATCGGCATGTAACACATATTTAGCGCCTACAAGACTGCACGAGTACTTCACGCATTGCATCAAACACAGTGCGGTCATTGCGGTCACCGCGAAACGGATAGCGCCTACAAGAATGCATGAATACTTCACGTATTGCGCCAAACACAGTGCGGTCAGCGTGAAACGCATAGCGCCTACAAGACTGCGTGAATACTTTACGCGTTGCGTCCAATACGGTGCGATCTGCGCGGCGCGGCGGCGGAAGTTAAAATCATTGATCCACATTTATGTTTGTTCTTTCATAATTTTTACGTTCATTTCTTATGAATCTCTATATAGGTGAAATAAAACATGAGAGAAAATTAGGAAACTTCTGATGTGGTTAGGTTGATTTCAGCGAAATCCATCCATTTATTGCCAGTGTAATTTCAATACGGGTTGCGTCATCATTATTTACTTTTCATTTGAAAGTTACTAGCGTCAATTTCTTCGATAAACATCTTGGAAGTTGAGTCGGGCCTTTGGTTCCAATATTTCGGGGGAAAATATGAGTAACTCAGCTTCGAACGACATTTTTGGAGTATTTTTGATCCCAACGTTGTTTCAGCAATTCAAGCAATCATTTGCAGTTAAGAGGTTTCGTATGGGATTCTTGCTAACTTGCATTGTTTATGTAAGCAAGAAGTGAGCGTGATGGTTTTACTCCGAGCGACCTCTTTTGCGTCAGACGACTTTTGGAACGACGAGCACGTGGGTATAGTTTGGGCGCCCCTCTAACGTAAAGACCTATCTCAGTTTCCACGTGAGCCCTGTTTTACGTATGAATCCATACTTTGTGGGGCTCATGTGGAAATAGAAATACGCCCTTATGTTAGTAGAGCGACGGTTTGGGCGGCCGTCTCGCAGTATTGCTTTTCAAGCATTTGTTCTTAAAAAATGAGATTACCAAGGTTCTTGCAAAATCAAACATACCGACAATCCTATTCACAACAAACAACACGAAGCCGTCCTTCAAAAAGTTGACACACTCATTTTTAGGAAGTGCTAATTTTCTTCCTTCTCCTTTTCTTCTACCCCTCGGGCAATAGCAGAACTTTCCCTCTCCTCACGAGCTGATCCACCTGTGCTTCTGGACTTTATTAGGGCACCTTTGGCTATTTCCGGCAGATGACGTCTTCGGGGCACCCGTTGATGAAGTTCGCGGACATTCGACACGAATTAATTCAATACAACTTAATGGTGGATGAGCTTTCTCCAATGCTTCTCTAAATCATTGAATCTTCGTGCAGAAATAACATTTCCCTTGAACATATAGTTGCTTCAGCAGCTTTCAATTTTATTTTATCCGCAGATAAAAAAATGAGTATAGGATTTTCCTAGCATTTCCTAATTTGGGGAAGGTGCGATAGCGCAGCTGAAATTTTTAATAAAGGTCCAGATCCAGCCTCGCTTGACGGATGGAGGGATAAAAGGGGTTTCAAAAATCATATTGAGGGCAGTGAAAGTATTACGTAAGCTATCACGGAAAATTATTGAATGTTAATATAGCATTTATACTGTTAAAAGAACGTGCGACAAGTAAATGCTGATTTTACATTAAAAGAATGCTAACTCAACAATTCTTTTCTTCATTTAACCGTGGGCGTAGTTAACATAGCATTTTTATCGTAAAATCAGCATTTATACTTGTCGCACATTTCTTAACAATATAAATGCCAAAGCAACATTAAATTTGTATCCGTGATACTTAGGGGAGAA